ACAGTTTCTTTCTGTTCTGGGAGTCCTCGTGGATACCGAGCTGAAATATTAAATTGTGTGTTACAGAGGTCACACCTTTACATGAACTTCATCAAAAATGTGTAAACTAAAACAATGAACATACCTTCATGTTCTTGGAGAACTGCTCGTAGAACTTCTTGTAGTTGTCCTTGTCCTCAGACAGCTCTGTGAACAGTTCCAGGCACTTCTTGACCAGGTTTTTGCGGATCACCTTCAGGATCTTGCTCTGCTGAAGCATCTCTCTGGAGATGTTCAGGGGCAGGTCCTCAGAGTCCACCACACCCCTGATGAAATCTAACAAAAACAAAGACAACTATGTCAAACATATCTGCATTTCCACCATTTTATTAATATTTTATAAAAGATAGACATTGATGTTAAGTCGCTTAAGGAGGTCATACTTACTGAGGTATTCTGGGATGAGCTCATCACAGTTGTCCATGATAAAGACCCTGCGCACATAGAGTTTGATGTTGTTCTTCTTCTTTTTGTTCTCAAACAGGTCAAATGGAGCACGTCGAGGCACAAAAAGCAGGGCGCGGAATTCTAACTGACCCTCAACGGAGAAGTGCTGATTGGATGAGAAATAAAGTGGGGGTGAACTTAAGGACCAGAGAACACAAACGGACCAGAGATCACGCTGAACAAAAAGTAGACAAACCTTTACTGCTAGGTGGTCCTCCCAATCATTGGTTAAACTCTTGTAGAACTCTCCATACTCCTCATTGGTGATGTCATCAGGATTACGCGTCCAAAGAGGTTTGGTTTTGTTCAGCTCCTCCTGATCAATGTACTTCTCCTTGATCTTCTTCTTTTTCTTTTTGTCTGAAGACTTCTCGTGGTCAACTTCTTCATCTGATCCTACGTCCTCAATCTCAGGTTTATCCTCGTCCTTCTCCTCTTTTTCCTTGTCTTTTTCCTCATCTTTCTCCTCTCCCTCCTCCTCGTCATCACTCACTTCCTTATCCCGCTCCTTCTCCACCTAGTTAAGAAAATCCGTAACAAGGGTTTAATTCCTTGGACTTAAATGTGTTTTATAATTTAGCGTGAAACTATTAACACTTCAGTGAAACTTACAAAGAGTGTGATGGGGTAACCAATGAACTGCGAGTGCTTCTTTACGATTTCTTTGACTCTTTTTTCCTCCAGGTACTCCATCTGGTCTTCTTTCAGGTGCAGGATCACTTTAGTTCCACGTCCCAGAGGTTCAGCTGCGCAAGAAAAAAAAACAAGTTAGTAGAATATTACAGGAATCACTTTTAACTAAATGTTACTTATATTAAATGATCAAATTACTCACAGTTGTCAAGTCTGACTGTGAACGAGCCCCCAGCTGAAGACTCCCAGGCATACTGCTCGTCATCGTTGTGCTTCGTGATTACCGTGACCTTCTCAGCCACCAGGTAGGCGGAGTAGAAACCCACTCCAAACTGACCAATCATGGAGATGTCAGCTCCATCCTGCAGAGCCTCCATGAAGGCCTTGGTGTCAGACTTGGCAATGGTGCCCAGATTGTTGATCAGGTCTGCCTTGGTCATACCGATGCCGGTGTCAGTCAAGGTCAGGGTGCGTTCCTCTTTGTTGGGAATGATTTCGATTTTAAGATCCTTGCCAGAATCGAGCTTTGAGGGATCAGTGAGACTTTCATACCGGATTTTGTCCAGAGCCTGTTCAAGAGAGGGAATAAATTAGTGCTTGTTAAGAGTTTAATTTCATTTGAACAATGAAAGGCCTAGCACACATTGAAGAATGCGTCTCTAGTCACCACCAGCAGGCAAGGCGGGTTAATTAAGTGTCTTGCCCAAGGACACAACAGCAGCATTCTCTGGGATCTAACCTTTCGGATTACTGGATTACTGGACAACCTGCTCTACACCTCCTGAGGTATTGCTGTCCTAGTAGTACTACACTAACCACTTATGTGTATGAATGAGACAGACAGAGGCAAACTTACATCTGAAGAGTTGGAAATGAGCTCCCTAAGGAAGATCTCCTTGTTGGAATAGAAAGTGTTGATGATCAAGGACATCAGCTGAGCAATCTCAGCCTGGAATGCAAAAGTCTCTGCCTCCTCCTCCATTGGTTGGTCGTGTGGCTCAGGCATCTAGAAATGAGAAACACTCCAGAATAAGTATTTATTGGATTACAACTGAAAAACCCAATTTGACATTTGATTACTACCACACACTTAAAACTGCTGGGTTAAAAATAACCCAATTTGGGTTGTTTTGTAACCCAGGTGCTGGGTCAAAAAGGGACCGACCCAGTGCTGGGTTATTTTAACCAAGCGGGGTTGGGTTATGAGTTTGACCCAGCTTATTGGGTTATGCTTTCTACCCAATACATTGGGTTAAAATGACCCAACTGTATAGTTAGGACTACCCAAAACTGGGTTAAAAATAAAACCCAACTTCTGGGTTATTAAATTACTAAACCTTGGGTTAAAATGACCCAATTCTACAGTAAATACAATACAATAAATAAAATACAAATTGAATAATTCAATAAAACAAAATGAACATGTCTCAGTCAATTCTTTATCACAAAAAGTATGTTAATTTTCAAAATACATAGATAACAAATAAAGTTGCATTTTCTACTTTTCTCTAAACATGCATTCATATTCAAACTTGTTTTGTAAATGACTACTAATTGCATTTTTTTTTAAATGACAAATATTAAACATTTTGTAATTTGTGATGTCTTAAACATGTTAAACAACTTTAATGGAAGAACTGTAGTGAAGTAAATGTCCATCAGCTTCCAACCCTCACCTTAATGCTTTGGTCAGCAGAACATCAACCTTACATCATAGCAACATGAGCCCTCAAAGCTTCACAGCATTTGATTCATGATGCAAAGATAAATGTCTGAATAAACCCCCAAATCTGTGCACGTGGTTTTGGATAGTTGACATCGACACAAAAAATGTTTAAGAACAGGTGGGTATTCCAATGATCAAAAATTCTTGGGAACATCGATGGTCTTCTGCAGCCATAAGGACATGTGGTGCTCTGCTGTGGTCCCATTCAGGTTCTTCACCAGACTGGTTCAAGTCTAAGTTGAGGGGGACAGTGGAAAAAAAAGAACTGATTTAGGCATAAAGGTTATGATTTCACAAACAGCTGTTGAAACATATTTGGAGTGGGCTGTGAATGATAACTGAAGTAAAAAATAACAGAACTTACAGGTTGGAAGTCAGTGAAGGCCTGCTGAACCTCTGCTTGGTCGGAACGCTCTCCTTCAACTTGTATGGTGCAGTTTGGAGAAGCACTGGCAGCAACAACAAAGCCACATCCACCCATTTGTCTGTACAATTGAAATGTGTAACATTATTCACATGACTGTGGCATAAAGGCCCTCTGCTGTTAGCAGGGATGCTACCACTGGTATAAAATAGCCAGAAGGCCTAACACCCCCCAGTAGAGCCTCACTATGTCAGGGAGTGTGGACAGAAGATCACAACATTTTCCAGAGCACTTGTGCTGCGGATTCTGTGTTACATTCTATCTAAAATATATATAAATATCGATGCTAGGAAGCTAAGTAGCCAGCTACCTAATCTAAACTATGAGTCGGTTGTCTTGAACAGACAGGCTAAAAATCTGTTACTTTATCAGCTACATGTCCCGTTTTAATTAAATTAATCTTTAAACTCTTTATTAGTAACGTCTTACCTTATTTTAAATCCTTGCTGGTGTGAAGCTCCATTAATGTCGGTGTCATCCTCTGGTTTAAAATGAAGCGGGCTCACAGACAAGGGGGAGGATCTTACTATTTCCCGCCTTTTTTAACCCAATACGCTGGGTCAGAATTTTTAACCCAATGATGTGTTAAATTGACCCAACCTCTAAAAATTCAGCCTTGACCCAGCAGTTGGGTTAGAGAAATAACCCAGCATTTGCATGAAAGCTGTATTCAGTCATCAGATGACAGAATACAGCTTAGTTATTTCCTAGTCACCAATAATGTGGTTTAATGACAATTTCATTTTTGTTTGGTGTGCTTTTATTCTGTCATACTGACTGATTCGAGAGGCACGTGGTTGTCATAACGTTAGCGGGAGCAGCAAGAAGACCTCCACCTGCTGGTTTCCGGTTGAAACGCAACGTTCTAGAAGTTACGGGATGCAAGTACCTTCCAGAAGAGAGCCCCTCCCTTCCACAGAGAAATGAAGAGATTCAATGAACGACAACTCAGTGCTAGTCTTAAAACTGCCCCTTTGAATGTTTAAAGCTGCAACGAAAGCTACATTAATTAAACCAATTTTCCCAAATTTGTAACAAGTGCACCGCATCGTGTCAGGATTGTTCCTGGATAGACTTCATCAACCCATCTTGACTGTTTCGAAATAAGAAAGAAAACCTGAATATGTTGCTACTCATGAATTACACCCATTAGCTTCAACAAGAGGTTAAATATGAAGCACGAGTTAAGCTAATACCAGTCGGTGTGTGCTTTTAAGCTAAAAAAAAACATTCAAATGATTGAAATACCTTGGTCCCAATGTGACACGATAACCCAGGTAAATGTGTTGATGTCGCTCCTCGCTCTCAGCAGCTTCTGTCGGTGTTGAATCTTCCTCGAAAACTGTAGCTGTCTGGTTTTTGTACTCTCAGTGTGTTCGAGAAAATCCCAACTCAAGCTTCCAGAACTGTCTGGAATCCTCCAGAACCGTCTGAAATCCTTCTTGTGTGGTCGCCGCTGATAGGTCGAGCGACTTGTCAATCAGTACAAGAGTGCACGCCTTTATTCCTTTTATGGGATACAAAGGCAGCATCATGGGTTTGAGAAGGCACGTGGAATGACACAATGCTGACATTTCTCAATTTTTCCAGAACATTCAGGAGGTAACTAGAGATGTCAATGACAAATGCGTTATTTAAGTGATTTTGCGTTTGAATCATCGAAATGCTCTTTGTCAACAGTTTACTGTTTGTTGGAATTGGGCAACTCAAGCAAAATAATCACTGCAGAACTTGTTTGCTAATGTATTTTATTACAAATTTGAAAGCTTTACATATAAAAATGTAATAGTTACAAAAAGGTACATAGGCCAAGACAAAGGACCTTATTATACTGTTAATATAGGCTTTATATAAATGGTCATTAATGCAAACTTAAACCAGATGGTCAACATTTCCTCAAATCAATTGTGAGGAAGCAAAAACAGTCATTTACAAAAATAAGCATTAGAAAAGTCCAGAATTTCAGTCAACTTCTTCCATTCTTGAGGTGTCATCATCTCCCTCCAAGACCGGCATGTCTTCATCAGCTGGCTGAATGATGTCTTCAACTGCAGAATCATCATCATCAATTCCTGCAAATAAGAATGCGAAAATTACCAACCAACATCCATTTGGACAGCAAATTAAACAGATAATTTCTAACATGTTTTTTTTATTTTGGACACTAATACTTACCAAGACCCAGTTTGATCATTCTGTAGATGCGGTTGGCGTGTGTTTGCGGGTCCTCCAATGTGAATCCTGAGGACAGCAAGGCGGTCTCAAACAGTAGAATGACTAGGTCCTTCACAGCCTTGTCGTTCTTGTCGGCCTCTGCTTTCTCTCTCAGGGTCTCCACAATCGGATGTGATGGGTTTATCTCCAGGTGTTTCTTGGCAGTCATATATCCCATAGTAGAGTTGTCCCTCAGTGCCTGAGACTTCATGATTCTCTCCATGTTGGCCGTCCAGCCGTAGGTGCTGGTGACAATGCAGCAAGGTGAAGAGACTAGACGGTTGGATACTACAACCTATAGAGAATCAAATTTAGTATCATTGCATTCCGCAAAGAAATGACCTCCAAGGCAATATTTCTCATTTTGCCAGAAAGGAAAACATTACCTTTTCAATCTTCTTGTCAAGAATATCCTTCATGATCTTGCAAAGGTTCTCAAACTTAGTTTTGAGCTCCTCCTGCTTCTTCTTCTCTTCGTCGTCTTCAGGCAGTTCCAGACCTTCCTTTGTGACTGAAATCAGATTCTTCCCATCGTACTCTTTCAGCTGCTGGACGCAGTACTCATCAATGGGCTCGATCATGTAAATGACCTCCAGACCACTTTTGCGAAGGCGCTCCACAAAGGCAGAATTGGCCACCTGGTCCTTGGTCTCACCTGTAATAGCAATTCCAGATTAAATTGTTTGACATGTGATGATAGAAGCTTTTGAAGAATGCAAACGAATGAAGATCCTGTCAAACAACTTACCAGTGATGTAGTAGATGTGCTTCTGGTTGTCTTTCATGCGAGAGACATAGTCTTTCAGGGAAACCATCTCATCTCCAGAGGCTGATGTGTAGTACCGCAGTAGTTCAGACAGTTTCTTTCTGTTCTGGGAGTCCTCGTGGATACCGAGCTGAAATATTAAAGTGTGTGTTACAGAGGTTACACCTTTACATGAACTTCATCAAAAATGTGTAAACTAAAACAATGAACATACCTTCATGTTCTTGGAGAACTGCTCGTAGAACTTCTTGTAGTTGTCCTTGTCCTCAGACAGCTCTGTGAACAGTTCCAGGCACTTCTTGACCAGGTTTTTGCGGATCACCTTCAGGATCTTACTCTGCTGAAGCATCTCTCTGGAGATGTTCAGGGGCAGGTCCTCAGAGTCCACCACACCCTTGATGAAATCTGAATTATGAAGATAAAAATTGTTCAATCAACAAAATCCAAGCCATACTAGACAGGGCATGTTTTTCTATACATGGACCAATGTTTCACCCCTCTGGATAATGTATCGTCTAAGAGCTTTCTACCTTTTAAATGGCTTTTATTATTATTCTAACATATAAACACTTAGGGAAATGCAATATAATTATGTTATTATAGAAATAGTTCAATTGAAAACTAAATATTATCTATTGTTGTATGTATCAATCGGGAATGATAGCATACTAAAATGATCAAAATGTGTGACTAATCTGATTTATGTTTAACATGCTTTACTTACTGAGGTATTCTGGGATCAGCTCCTCACAGTTATCCATGATGAAGACTCTACGCACATAAAGCTTGATGTTGTTTCTTTTCTTCTTGTTTTCAAAGAGGTCGAATGCAGCTCTTCTGGGTACAAACAGCAGGGCACGGAACTCCAGCTGACCTTCCACTGAGAAATGCTGCAGGTTCCAGACACAGACATATTCTTTATTAGCTAATAGCAGGATTGTGGTGAACGATGCTAAAGAGAGCAGTGTTTTCTTTTTTTTTATTTAGGCTCATTATTTCCAGCCATGGACATCATTTTCGCTTTAGAAGTGTGTGTGTGTGTGGGGGGGGGGGGGGGGGGGGGGGGGGGGGAGGGGGGATCTTTACAGTATGCTCTAATGGGAAACAGGCTTCAACACAAACGGTTGTTTTCCGCTTGGTCCTAGAGCTCAACCAGTGTCAATTTAATATAAAGTAATATTGTTTTTGGATGGTAAAAAGTGCAGGGGTCAAAACTTGACTTTAGAAAAAGTGGGGGGACCTGTCCCCCCTGTCCCCCCCCAAAAAATTACGTCCATGTTTCCAGCTTACCTTGACTGCCAGGTGGTCCTCCCAGTCATTGGTGAGACTCTTGTAAAACTCTCCGTACTCCTCATTGGTGATGTCGTCTGGGTTGCGTGTCCAAATGGGCTTGGTCTTGTTCAGCTCCTGGGCATCGATGTACTTTTCCTTGACCTTGTGCTTTCTCTTGTTCTTTCCATCCTTTGAGTCTTCATCCTCATCTGACCCCACATCCTCAATCTTAGGTTTGTCTTTGTTCTCTGCAGCTTCTTTCTCAGCTTCCTCCTCCTTCTCTCCCTCCTCTAGATCCACTTCCTTCTCTCTGGTCTTCTCCACCTGGAATAAATGATCATTATTATTATTCATTTGTGATTAGTACGAGTTATTTTTTAGGAAATAGTTATTACATGATGATAACTTACATAAAGTGTAATAGGATAACCAATGAACTGAGAGTGTTTCTTCACGACTTCCTTAATGCGCTTCTCCTCGCAGTATTCCGTCTGATCTTCTTTGAGGTGGAGGATAACTTTGGTGCCTCTGCCAATGGATTCACCTAAAATCAGGAAATCAACATAGATTTAGACAGTGAAGGAAACTGTACTTATCAAGTAAATGATTCTGTCTAAAACATACTGTTGTCTGATCGGACTGTGAACGAGCCTCCAGCTGCTGACTCCCAAATATACTGCTCGTCATCGTTGTGCTTTGTGATGACCGTCACCTTCTCAGCCACCAGGTAGGCGGAGTAGAAACCTACACCGAACTGACCAATCATAGAGATGTCAGCTCCAGCCTGCAGAGCCTCCATGAAGGCCTTAGTGCCAGACTTGGCGATGGTGCCCAGGTTGTTGATGAGGTCGGCCTTGGTCATACCGATGCCGGTGTCAATCAAGGTCAGGGTGCGAGCATGCAGGTCAGGCTTGATTTCAATCTTCAGGTCCTTGCATGACTCAAGTTTGCTAGGGTCTGTCAGGCTTTCATATCTGATTTTGTCCAAAGCCTGTCCAGAAGGGAGAAGAGCATTAAAATATAGTTGCATTAAAAGTGTTGCTTAACAAGAAGAAGAAGAAGAAAAATGCACTAAGAGTAAATTGTCCATACATCTGAGGAGTTGGAAATAAGCTCTCTGAGGAAGATCTCCTTGTTTGAGTAGAACGTGTTGATGATCAGGGACATGAGCTGAGCGATCTCAGCCTGGAAGGCGAAGGTCTCCACTTCTTCCTCCATGATGTGTCCAGCGTTCTCAGGCATCTGAAGCAGATGTGTTCGCTAAAGTTTAGCATCTTGAAAATCATATTAAAAGTGTTTCCTTGTCAATCGATTGTTTGTAACTTTATCCTCAGTGATTAAACTCCAAACTTTTCCCTTGTTCTTGCTAATCCGGCTTCATGGCTCGCACAAGGTCATGATTTCTGCTGCCAGAAGAACATGTGCTCCGCCTGTCAATCACGTCTTGATAGAAAGGTGGAGTCTCGATGCCAGCCCAACCCCCACAACGGCTTTTATGTAAAAATCTGACATTATTTTAAAACTAATAACAAGTTGCAAGAAGAAACAAGCATCTGCTGAAAGAACAATCACTTTTACTATGTTTTCTTTCTTCGGATCACATGTGAAACATTGAATCCGATACAAATCCTGGTTTTATATCTTTTAAAAACGATTCTGATGCATAAATATTAATGTAGAACTTGTGTTTCTCGCCTCTTTCTGGACTAATGTGCTTCTTAGCTGTGACAGGCTCACTTAGAGTAACATAACCACTACTCTATTAAAATCTGCATATTCAAATAATGTAAGCATATAAATAAAAACATACATTTCAGTCTGGAATTGCATTTGTTTCAGTCTTACCTTAACTATAATCTTTCTCTCTTCTTGAAGCTGATTGTCAAACAAAGCTCTTGAAAATCGTCCGATCTATTCGTCGCCGCTGTTCTTCTGAACAGTTTAGTCTCTCTTCTGTTTGTCGAGTGAGTGTCTTCTGATTTCAAAGCCATGCTGGAGTCTTTTTATACTTTAGGGGAGGTTTCTCGAAGCTCCTCTTTGGAACTTTCTAGATGTTACGTTCACTACAGTTAGGGAGCAGCATTGAAGAAAGGTCGAGAAGGAGGGGGGGAAGAGAGATCCCTAAAGTTCATGTGCCCTTATAGGGCTGCAGAGTCACAAGGAGTGCCTGTCAATCACAGCGAGAGGGTTTCTGATAGCTGGTCTGGCTGTTGGACCCTACACCCCCCTAAGCGTCACAGCTGTGCATGGCTTTGGGCCTCAGCTGCTGTTGGGTGCCTCCATGAACTCGCCTCTATGCTAAAATGTACAGAACAGCAGGCCCCTGTGATTATTTTATATGTTAATCTCAAACTTTCAAATATTGATGGTGCGTCTCATTGTCTACAGGTGAGAATTTTAGGGTAAAATTTGAATAAATTGTGTTAACGTAGCGTCAGTCAGACTGAAACATGTTAAAATATGAGCCTATTGTTGTAATCTGACAGGAACGGTGTAAGAACATATATGAATCTGTTACGTCTTTGTTTTAAAAGCTGATTTAAGTCAAACAGAAATGTGGACACATCGGTGTGACGAGCCTTGATGAAAATCTAAAAATACCGTCGTATTTGCACACCCTCACACATGCAGTGCAGACTGATAAGATTTCCCAAGAGGGCTGGTCTTGAGAGAGGTAGTCAATCTGTTCGTGACATGTCTTGCAATTTGGCATAAAAGTGGCACAAAATTGTGTGATTATGTAACACAGAAGAGAGTAGTCCATAAAATGACCACATGGTGGCAGCATTTCTCACATATCAGTGCTGTTATGTAATAAACATGTTTCCAGCAAACACCAGGGGCTAAGCTGAAAAAAGAAGCACTGTTGCAGTCACTAGAAGACAATGTTTTTGTGAAAAGGACCAAAAAATTAAAAAATTGTTTAAACATGTCAGCAGAATAAAATCCATCCTTTTTTCCCTGGCGCTCGCGGAGTACAGACGCTTCTCTTTTTGCTCCCTTATCTGTTTTTCCCAAGGCTCTTTGCCCTGTCTGCCCACAGAGCGCTTCTCTGCATTTCTTCTGAAAAACCCTATTTTTAACCATGGATTTGAGGAATTGGTCATTCAACGTGATTGATAAGATTTTTTCAACAATGAGAACGGAGCAGGGGGCTCCCACTTGCCTGCAGTGGACACACCCGGCGGGGTATATGCTGGATTCCTGGAGGGAGTGGAAGATCGTATGCCTCTCCCAGCTGTCCACTGAGGACGTTGAAGACGAGTGGATATTTGGCCTGATGATCACTGGATTTCTTCTGATTGGAGGGGGAGGATATCTGGTTTTCTGGAAATTTGGGAAGACGGGAGCGACTGGAGGGCGACCCGCACCCACGGAGAGCACCGTCCGTGTGGAGACCTCACAGACTGGGACGTTACTCGAGGTGAATCGTAAGCTGGACAATGTTCTAGCTGCGATACTGGTATTAGTGCGCAAAAGGAATGTCATCTCGGAGAGGGTCACCGGACGGTATGGACAAGTTTTAAAAACCTAAATTGGCTTCACTGAAGGACTGGAATGATCAGTAAAGACTGAAGGCAGAGAGAAAATGATCTCAGCCTGACCCAAACAAAGTCTTGTTATCCGAATCTGACGCCAGAGCAGCCTCGAGATGCTAACAACAAACCCCCACGAAGGAATGCAGACAGATGCTGTGACCCCCCCCCCCCACCCCCCCCCACCTTCGGATTGGTGGACTTCAGCCTGGCGAGGTCATCAACCTGCAGGAGTCAATGTGCTCTGCGCTTCTCCCGAGAACTCCCTCCCACCTGTGACTACAGTGGCTGAGCGCCGTACATGGCTGCTCTCGCTGGGGAAACAGGATCCCAGACCCCCCCCTGCCTGCCTTAATGTCGGAGTATCTATGTTGTGTTGTCTGAAGTCTGTTGCTCATCTGTCTGCGGTGTTTTTTTTTTTTTTTTTTGCAGAGCAAAGCTGCCCTCCTGGTGGGAGGGTAACTCTGAAGTGCCTTTTTTTTCCCTCCTCCCGAAACAATTCCTCATGTTACCCTCTTATCTCTATTAAGGTAGCGCAACTCAGGGTTGCGAATGACCACAGTCACCAATTCTTGTCGTGTGTCTTGCCCATGTATGGCTGATCTCTGAATTGTGTGTACTGAAACTCTAATTTCCCTCTGGGATTAATAAAGTATCTTTGAATTTTGAATTGAATTGAAGGTCTGGAGGCTGCTGCTCCTCCACCCCGCCATTACCTGCTGGAGGCTGCTGCTCTTCCACCCCACCATCACCTGCTGGGCATGGCTGCTCTTCCATCCCGCCATCACCTGCTGGGCATGGCTGCTCTTCCACCCCGCCATCACCTGCTGGGCACTCCTTCTCCTCCACCCAGCCATCACCTGCTTGAGCCTGCTACTCCTCCTCCCCGCCTTCACCTGCTGGAGACTGCTGCTCCTCCACACTGCCATCAGCTGCCTGTGGAGCGCCGCTGACGACCAGCCCAGGCCCAGGTCTCACCTCTCCCTGCCCGCCCTGGATGCACCTCCACCCACCCAGGCTGAAGCTTCCCTCTTCCCGCTGCACGTCCAGCCGGCCTCTGCCCTGTCCCCTCTCTCACCTGCATCACACCCAGGCTCATCAGGCTCCCCCATCCCCGCAGCCTTCTCCCACCCACACAGCCTCTCCAACGTCATCCACACCTCCAGGTAACCCACCCTCAGCATCACCACCCCCCAACACGCTCACCCTCACCTGGCTGCCACCTGGGACAGACCCGGGGAACGGACCATGGAGGACCAGGCCCACCTCTCGAACCCTGCGGCCCACTATTAAGCACCCTCCCCTGGGTTAAAGACCCCAGTCCACGCTGGCTGGACCTCCAGCAGCCTGGTCATCCAAATCGAATTTCGTACGTCTGGTCATCCTAAGTAACAGAAAATTTCCATCTTCTGTGCGCTGACACTTAGAAAAAGTTCAACACTTAGAAAATTTCCATCTTGATCCGAACTTGGGATATGCTGATACTCCTATGATAATTTTATACCACATTTATTAATTTAAAGGCACACTTGGCAGTTTTGCTTGTCTGTTATTGATTGTCTTTGGTTAAACCGGAAATGAAAACTATCTCCTGGCCGTGCGTTTGTCTTTTTAACACCTTAAAGCTTCTTTCCGGAGTATTTCTCATATCCGATGGCACCATCTAGTGGCTGACAAGCATATCACACTCCTTCTGTTTTTTTAAGATCGCGACTTCACGTTTCTGTTTATAAATGTTGCTGACAAACAGAGCTAAAACATGTTGTTTTACGAGTATTATTCTCATGTAATGTTGTGTTTTCATATATATATATAGTTTAGAGACTTACTTGTCTGTGAAAAGTTCATCAACTCTGCATCAGCCGAAGTATTCCTTAAATTTGAAGCATGTAAGCGGTAGTCTAACGCTATTGGTTAGTTCTGGTCGGTACTCAATTTCCTATAGCACGGAGCTCTGCGGGGCAGGGAGCGTGCTTAGCAAAAAATAAATAAAAAGAGTTATGCTTACATTATATCACAGCACATGATAAGATAAACACTTTTACAGATTTCTGACAAATCATACATAATTTCTGAAAGTGGAAAACTCAGCTGAAATGTCTCCCAGCCTTCACTGATTTCTACAGTGATTGATCACTAAATTAAACAAATCAGCTGCGTTCATTATCCAAAACATGCAAGTGTAGCGTCAAGAATGTCATGTGCATGCCTAAAGGTCATCAGGCATTACAAATAATGATGGCTGGACAGTGTACTGCCTGATGACCTTTAGGCATGCACATGACTTTCTGGATGCTACACAGGAAATGTGCTAGAGTCAGACTGCAGTGCCAGGTATGTCAGCTCCATTTATTTCTAAATCCAACAAGGGAGGGCCTACTTGTTTCAAGTTGCAAATGCAGTTGGCCACAGGGGGTGGCGTGAATCTGATGGGCCATTCCCATCTGTACCGGGTCGGCCCGGGCCGGGCAGCGTAGGTTGTTTACATATCTGGGTGGCCTGGTATTTTTCCGGGCCAACCAAGGCTCATTCTCAGCCCTCTTCTCGAGGGGGTCTGCTTCAGGCCGACCAGGGCCAACACACCCACTGCTGACAGCAAATTCACACCTTCCATTAGAGCAAGCCTCTAATTGGTGGGTAGAATCAGCCCACACGGGCTTAAGGCATGGGTGTGTGGAATCAACCGGGCCAGGCTGGGGCCGACTGGGGCTACCCGGCCCGGGCCGACCCGGTACAGATGGGAATGGCCCATAAGTTATAGTCAGGATTCTAAAATGTATTCAAAAGTTAGCGGGTAACCAGTGTAGAAACATTAGAATAGGAGTGATGTATGCTCTTCTGTTTGCTCCAGTTAGGAGCCTCGCTGCAGAGTTTTGGACCTACTGAAGGCGGTAAAGGGCTTTTTTGTTAAAACATGTGAAAAGTGTTACAGTACTCTAGACGAGAGGAGATAAAGGCATGGATAACCCTTTCAAGTTCATGTTTCTTAAGTGTTAAAAACCGTTTCGGACCAATGTTTTTGAGTGGCCTTCAAGAGACATTGATTAGTCAAAAACACCACCCAAATTCCTCAGGTTTGACTTGACGGCAAAAGATAAATGACCAAGTTGTTGAGTTTATACTATATCCCCTCTTTCCTATTCACTCTCTGTCTTTCTTAACAATTTTTAATCACAATTGTCTATTTTTTGCTCATTTTAAATATAGTTTTTAACCATTTTCTAAATTCTTTTTTATATTTTTACATTTTTTGTTTTTGTGAAGCGCCTCGTGATTTTTCTATGATATTTTCTTCTTCTTCTTTAACAGTTTATTCAATGCACACCCTTTAAATCTCATTATCCAGTATTAAAGGTGCAATTTGTAAGAATTTGACAATTAAATAATCAGAAAAAAATTCTCATGTGTGTATCGCGTTGCAGGGAAGGTTACAATGACACAGATCTCCTTTTCAGTCAGCTGGGGAGGTTGTTAGGTTTTCTGACCATTTAGAGAAGACCAGACTTCCTTTATTGTGGGCACTTCTGCTTCTATGAGGAAGCCTTGAGGTCTCCAGGCCAACATGGAAACACAGTCCTTTTGGCTCCTCACAGTACAAATTTCCAAAATATGAATTTCTCATTCAATTTTTTTGTTTTTATCTCACAATAGATTATATAAAATTATTATTGGGCAGTGTTGAGACAAACGACGTTTAAATATAACAACATTACTAACGGCACAATTTTGAGCTAATGGAGTAATCTAATTATTTATTTTTCCCATCGTCACAACGCCGTTACGAACCAACTCCCTCTAGCAGTGAGAATGGCCCCCTCTCTCTCAGATTTTAAATCACGCCCGAAGGCTCATTTTCATTCCTTGGCATTTACTTCAGCCTAGTTAGCCTTGTACTATGTCTCAGTTTTATTTTTATTGTTGATTTTATAGTAGTTACTGTACTACTTTTATTACTTTCTTTCCGTGTGTTGATTTTTATCCTCTTTTACTGTGTAGCACTTTGGTTGGCCTTGGCATGTAAAAATGTGCTTTATAAATAAAATGGAATGGAATTTTTATTTTATTTTTTGTGTCTAAAACTTTTAATATACTTGTCATTTGACTTGCTGGAGGCAACATACTCTGCTTATAAGAAATTATATGTATTAATATTTAATTTTATGATATACGCAAGTCATCACTGAAATAAAAATAAATATGGCATTTATTGGTATTAAAATGGGACTAATATTACAATACTGCGTATTAGTAACATCCAAGCTATAATTATGCCTAAAATATGTTTATAAGACCAATATATTACCGTGTTTCTACATGTTGTTTATGTTTTGTTTTGGTTTCTAGCTCCATAATTCTTTCTACGCATGGCTACTAGTGATGTGTCGGTCGCGAATGAACCGGCTCTAAGAGCCGGCTCTTTGAAGTGAACGACGGGAGCTGGCTCGTCATTGGGAGTCGTCCCCTCCCCTCCCCCCCTCCCCTCTTGCTTTGGTGAAAGCTACAGGCGATTGGTCAACATGTGTAACTGCGTGTCCAGACCGTCCACACACACAGCAGTAGGGGCGGGGAAGAGGGAGGATCAGACTCAGACACACAGCAGAGCACATGCGGGTGGAGGGAGACTAGAGGGAATGAGGAGGAGGAAAAAGGCGAGCGAGAGGGAGGAGAGTGTGACGAAGACCGTGAGAAAATGAGCGCCAGCAGTCGGAAAGTGGATATTTCATAAAGTGTTCAGATATTAAATCCATAGAAATTATAAATATTTGATATATTGCATATTTTTATATTAGTAAATCATTTCAAATATAGTTTTGTATTATTTTGGTTATAAATGTACTCTACGCAACAGAAAATCTGAGGAGCCACTTGGGAGCCGAAAGATCCAGCTCTTTTTGGTGAGCTGAACCAAAAGAACCGGCTCTCTAAAAGGAGCCTGAATTCCCATCACCAATGGCTACTGGAGTTTGACGGTCTGGCGCATGCGCTGTTTGTAACATCCGGGGCTGGGACAAGGATGAACGCCAATTTCCAAGATGGCAGCGGAGGGAGGAGGGAAGGAGACGAACGACATTAAAACTCAGTTCACAACACGAGAAGGCGTCTACAAGCTGCTCACTCACTCCGAATACAGCCGCCCCAACAGAGTACCTTTCAACTCGCAGGGCTCCAACCCCGTCAAGGTCTCCTTCGTCAACGTAAACGACCAGTCCGGTAACGGTGACAGGATCTGTTTCAATGTGGGCCGGGAACTGTACTTTTACATCTACAAAGGCGTGAGAAAGGTAAACAGAATTTGACAGCGGCGAAGGCGCCACCTCTGTACGGGAGCGTTTTCTTGCTGACTCTTGGCTTGTTGTCACTGAAGTGCGCAGGTCGGTTTTGTGAATACGAGACCACGTAGCAGACCCAACCGAGTTTGACTAATTAGCATTCTATTAGTTAACATCGTCACAGTCTCGATCCGACTCCTCACATTCCGCCCTCCGTCGCTACAAACGATGACACGTGAATCTGGAAGACACGAGAGAAGGCTCTGTGTTTTGGGGATTGTTTACATGGTAGCGTTATGTACGAAGTGGCAACAGTGGTGTTCCTGTGAGAGTTGACCGTGTTCATTTAAGCCACCCGACTGGAAGCCAAGAGTGTGTGTGAGTTCCGGTGTAATGGTGTGTGTAAACCCTACAGTCAGAGTCTGAATGTGTTGTAATGTGATCCAGTGTTTAGCAGCGTTTGGCCTTGTTACACAGGGATGGAAACCGTGATCTAGGCGATCATTTCATTTATTTATTTATGTAAGGACAGTGCACATTAATTAACATTTCTGTAAATGTGCCAGCGTTAGCCAGCAGGCTAATTTTTAACTGTAGTCCATTGGCAAGATGGGGTGTCAAATATGCGGCCCGCGGGCCGGATCCGGCCCGCAAGCGGGTTGAATCCGGCCCGCGAGATGGTTGTATAAACTTTATTTTCATACTTTACAATGTAGAGTGAAAATAAACTTATCTTTTTGAGCAAGTTTCCTCTGTAATGAGTATAAATAAAACAAAGCTGTGCTCAAGGCTCACACAAGAACTTGAATCACATCCTGAAGTTGGCTGCCACTCAGGATGTGACTTCTGATGTTGATGTGCTGGTGAAAGCTAAAAGATGTAAAGTAAAATGAGTCAAATATACTTTAAGTGCTGCATGAAACTGATCTTGCCATGTGATCTGTAAACTCTTTGAATCGCTAAGGAATGTTTTTTTTATTTGTTGATTTTTTCAAATTTTCAAGTACACATTAGGTGTTGTATTTGTACTATTTTGGATACACTGTCCTTAAAACAAAGAAAACAATCTTTAGTTATTTTTTAATTTACTGGTCCGGCCTACTTGGGACTAGATTTCCCTCAATGTGGCCTCTGAGCTAAAATGAGTTTGGCACCCCTGTATACTAAACACGGGACGGCTAAAAAGAAAGAACATGCTGATGATGTTTGTCCCTGAAACAACATCCAGAAGGCTAAGCCGCTAGAATAAGTCTGTTTTTGCTGTTTTTCCTCCTATGTTTTTCACACCAGCAAAATTTTAAATCAAAGATAACTTGATTAAACACAAAATGCAGCTTTCAAATATAAACTATTAAGGTAAAAGGACAACTAGTAATGAGTCTGACATTGTGGAGGAATTTGAATCCGTCTCCCTTGCAGAATCTTTTAAAAATTCAGCCACGTCTGACCTGTTGTAAGGTTAGGTTTAATGATAAATGTGTAATGTTTTAAAGGGGCATTATGGAAGTTTGACAGCCAAAACATGTATAGAAATAATAAATGTCTTCTTCATACGTTCTCCTGCAATGCCCTGGTCCTGTAGAATGAGCCCTGGCATTTTTACTGTGATTGCCTGTTTTTCTGTAAAATCACAGAAAAAGAGAGATGCTCGGGTCGAGCAGGCTGCTTCATGCGCGTTCATGCTCAGGCATCGCCCGTAGCATTTGCTATCCGTAGCTTTAGCAGCAGAGAGAGAGGCAGTGCCACTTTGTCGCTGTTCCTAACGCCTAGTGACAAAGCTAGCTACATTTCTGAGGACCCTTAGCTACTTTCTGTAGAACTTTCTTCTAGATATTTCCTGCAAATTAGCAACAAAATAGCCATTTTTGCTCCGAACCGTTCTTTGAACGTTGCTTCAGCTGTCATCAAGGATATAAATGTTACAGATACAAAGGACGTCACTGGTGCTTTAGCTCACCTTGTAAGATGTTGGACTCTCATGCAGAAGACTTGGGTTCGATTCTGGATGTGAACATAGTTCATTTAGAGTTTCTTTTTTACATTAATGGTATATTTTTTTACAGTAAGATGCCCAAATTTTTATTTGTGACTCGCCGAACGGCATTGAATTCACAGATAAAAAAGATGTGGGTTGAACTTTCATTTTGGAACAATTTTTCAAGCAAGGGAAGGGAATGATCTGAGCATGCAGGAGGACTGACCCATCATAAACCTTTGTCGGCTGTGCTGAAGAGAAAGGTACAGAACCACATTATTTAATTAATTAGCTGCGCATTCTCCTGTCCTCTGTCCTCCGAGCCCCCCACACACACACACACACACACACACACACACACACACACACACACACACACACACACACACACACACACACACACACACACACACACACACACACACACACACGGGACTGTCTCAGCTGTTATTTTCGTTAAGGAGTGTGCACGTACAGCATGCGCGCCTCGTGCACGAGCCTACTATTGAAGCTGCCAATACCCATGTCTATTTACTTATTTATTTGGTCGTAACATTGCACCAGGGCACAATCGGAGGAAAAGAAAAAAGTTAAAGATAATCACAAACACAGTTCCTAATTCCTCGTTTAAAAGAGCTGATACGCTTGCTCATAGTTTTAAGTCGGACGGTCCGGAGCCCAGGTTGGGTATTTTACTAATCTGCTGAGAATATTGTTGGCAAAGTTGCACAGAAAGTAGGTAAGGGTTACCAGAAATGTAGATGGAGTTGTTTGCTAAAGTCAAAAAGGTGTCGGGGAAGTTGTTAAACAAAGTGTCTTAAGTTGGCAGTACTGTGTGGGAGGTGCGCTCAATTTGTAATCCGTGTGGAAAGGATAATCAATCATATCAGTTTGTTTTCATAATCGTTCAGAACACAGATCATAATTGTAATTAAAATTTGATGAATTATAGCCAAAAGATTAATTTCCATCGCTAGTTCCCTGCTTGAAAGCAGGAGTACACATATGAACACTAATGAGTAAGACGACATAGTCCTATGAAATAATTGTTGGTTTAGCGTCCTGTTAGCGTCCAGGAAACAGCAGAAAACATATTTGCTAGTAGAAGTTAACCGTTAGCATTAGCAATTCCACAACACAGCAGAACTCCTCCTGGTTTGTGTTATTTGTAGAGATAAAACAACGTTGTAGAGCAAGCAAGGTCAGTAGTAGAGTTGCATTGTTGTTGAGGCGAGGTGTCCAAATCTGATCCGGCTCACTTCCAGTTCCAGAAACTTGCGCACCGGCGCCTGTTCCCCCCAGAGTATGACCTGGAAGGCATTCATTCCTACCAGAGACTACTGCAAATGAATAAAAAATATGAATAAAGATGACCTTTTAAAATGTAGGGTTGTCACGGTGTGAAAATTTAACCTCACGGTTATTGTGACCAAAATTATCACGGTTTTCGGTATTATCGCAGTATTTTTTTAAACGTGCTACATTTTCAGACAACTAAATAAACCCTGTATATCAGGAAATATTATCCTCAGTTTGTGTCTCAATTTAGCCTAAAATTTGTTATTTTGTAATTATGTTTATTTGTTTACATTTTTCCCCTTTAGTCTTTAAAATACCAATATTTGCCCATAACTTTTTATCTTTGTCTGTTTGATGTCATCATTTAAAATATTAGATCAGATGATACTCAATACTCAAGTAGCCTTCTAACCAGATACTTTTTTTTACCCTTACTTGAGTAATAAACCCTATATCAGGAAAATATTGTCCTCGGTTCGTGCCTATGTAAAAGGCGCTGTTTTTGTCTGCCAGGGAGGGATTTTCACGGCATAATCTTCACCACATCTTTGTGCGTTCATCGTTTGTTTGAAGCCAGCTGACCTCCTGCAGCCACTTCTCCGCGAATACTCTTTTCTTTTGCGGTTCTGACTCGGTCTGACGTTTTTTTGGAGGCGGAGGAACACCAAAATAATTACTTAATGGAGTTTGCTTCTTGGACATCTTTAAAATGCTCCAGAAATGTCCTCCTTCATCCACAAATTCTTAGGTGCGCAAATGCGTGCTGCGGCTTTTTCTCAGGTGCGCATTGTTTATTTTGACAGCACATGCGCACCTGCGGACCACTTATGTGCACACCTGATTATAAAGCATAATAATGCTGTTACATAACTGCGAGAGTAGGCAAATCAATAAAGGTTCTGTGTATGTGATATGTTTTTCCCCCAGGCTGCCGATCTCAGTAAACCCATAGACAAGAGGATATACAAAGGCACGCAGCCTACGTGTCATGACTTCAACCCTCTCACAGCGACAGCAGAAAGTGTCTCCCTGCTGGTGGGCTTCTCAGCAGGACAGGTGCAACTTATAGACCCTATCAAGAAGGAAACTAGCAAACTCTTCAATGAGGAGGTGGGTTAAAGACAATGCAACGCTTCTGTCAGTGAGCCCCAGGGCAGCTGTGGCTACGATGTAGCTCATGTGTGAATGAATGGATGAATGATTCATAAGTACTGCCCTAATAAGACTCTCGTTGTTTTATTTAAATGCATGTAAACGCGTTAGTCTGGCTAAAGGCGAATGGTTCTAATCGTGCTGAAGCACTCAGAAAATGCTGTAACAATCGAAATGTATTCAGCATATAAATGGGTCAGCCGAAGTGAACCGATTGGACGCTTGTGTTCCGGAAGTGACGGAGACCGTGGAAGCGGTTTTCTGATTATATTGCTGCCACAAAGTAACAAGTGCAACACCACCAAACAGTACAGTATGTACCAAAACAGCTTTGCTGCAGTGTTGTTGTCCTTCCTTCAGCCATTGTGCATTTCCTGTTTCAATTTCGTCAACTTCACTCCCGCCAGCGGTTGTTCACTATTTGTGTTGCTATAAGCTAACCGGAAAACCCACTGTACTGGAGTGAGGTCGGTTTTTGAATGCGCATGTAAACTAGGATAAAAGACGCCCATCTTATTACCACAAGATTGACCTGGATGTAGGTCAGTGTGCATTTAACCACACTGATTTTATTGTAAAGCGCTTTGGTCTTCTGACTCTGAAAGGTGCAGTAATCCCTCGTTTATCGCGGTAGATGCGTTCCAGACCTGGCCGCGATAGGTGAAAATCCGCGAAGTAGGGACACCCAGCATGCCCCTCGCGGGGATTCCCTCCACGTTGCACCTACGTCACAAACCGCGGCTATAAACGGAAGTCGCCTTTCCAGCTCACCACTCAGTCATCGTTTCTTCTGATTCATGATCAGAGTTTCCAACCTACCGATCAATCCAACGAACTATCAGCTCATAGTAAGTTATCTTACTTACTTCTGGAAAGCCCAGCATTTCCGTGTCACTTCGTTGACGCTCGAACGCTCGGGGGTTTCCTAGATCAGCCGGCGTTTCACCGACGCTCTCACTTCCGCGTCTGTGAAAACACGCTCCCTACAAGCTCAACTCCCGAATCCAGCGGACCTGTCTGACATACAGTACTATATTGAATTATCGTATGATCACATTCTCTTTTTGTGGATAAAACTCAAGAAAAAAAATGTTTTACTTGTTTTTTTTTAGTTTTATTACAAAAAGTGCATTTTATGATGAAATTGATGAAAAAAACAAGAATTTCTTGATATTTCGCATAGAAAAATACCGCGAATCAGTGAAAAATACCGCAAATCTGCGAATTCCCCCTGAAAAATGCTCCAAAGAAAAAATCCGCGAAGCAGCGAATCCGCGATGAACGAACCGCGAAGTAGCGAGGGATTACTGTATACAAGTGCAGGCCATTTATCACTATTCCTAAGAAATCGTAAAAGCTGTAGCTAATGACTCTAATCTCTAATTTTCCTCTTGTTCTCCTTCCAGAGACTAATCGACAAGTCAAGAGTAACCTGTGTACGATGGGTTCCCGGTTCAGAGAGTCTGTTTCTGGTGGCTCACTCCAGTGGCAGCATGTACCTGTACAATGTGGAAAACACCTGTGGCACTACTGCACCACACTACCAGCTCTTGAAGCAGGGCGAAAACTATGCTGTCCACACTTGCAAGAGCAAATCGGCTCGTAACCCGCTGCTGCGCTGGACAATAGGGGAAGGGGCGCTTAATGAGTTTGCCTTCTCCCCGGATGGCAAGTTCCTAGCCTGTGCAAGTCAGGATGGCTTCCTGCGAGTGTTTGGCTTTGACGCAGCAGAGCTCCATGGAACAATGAAAAGCTACTTTGGTGGCTTGCTGTGTGTGTGCTGGAGCCCGGATGGGAGGTATATTGTGTCAGGAGGTGAGGATGATCTGGTGACTGTGTGGTCTTTCCTGGACTGCAGAGTCATTGCACGAGGGCATGGTCATAAATCGTGGGTAAGCGTGGTGGCGTTTGACCACTGCACCACTAGTGTTGACGACGGTGATCCGCCCTCAGAGTTCAGTGGGAGTGATGAGGACTTCCATGAGCAGATTCACTTTGCGGCAGGTAGAGACAGAGCTAACAGCTCTCAGTCTCGACTCTCTAAAAGAAACTCTACAGACAGTAGGCCTGTCAGTGTGACCTACAGATTTGGTTCAGTAGGACAGGATACTCAGCTATGTCTGTGGGACCTTACAGAAGACATCCTCTTCCCTCACCTCCCTTTGTCACGCGCCAGAACTCACACTAACGTTATGAGCGCCACAAGCCCTCCAACCACTGGACAAACAATTACTACTGTATCAATCACCACCACCACCAATTCCAGTGGCACAAATGGTAATGATAATGTGAGCAATAGTAGCAGCAGTGGCAACCCACCCAATTCCCTCCCTGGCACCCTACCTCGATCTAATAGCTTGCCTCAATCAGCCAACCCAGCAGGAGGCAGCACCACAAACAGTCACACAGGCAGCAGCAGCAGCACCACCACCACCACCACCAAGGGCAACGGCATCATCGACAGCACTTTCATTGCCAACAGTGTCAGCAAGTTTGCAACGTTGTCTTTACACGAGTCGCGGAAGGAACGCCACGAGAAGGACCACAAGAGAAACTACAGCATGGGTCATATCAGCAATAAGAGCAGCGACAAGCTCAACCAGCTGAGCTCGTCGCGAACAGCAAAAGCCGAGGCAGCTAAGACTCTGGGCACGACACTGTGCCCCCGCATGGAGGAGGTGCCGCTCCTAGAACCGCTGGTGTGCAAGAAGATTGCCCACGAAAGACTGACTGTGTTAATTTTCCTGGAGGACTGTCTGGTAACAGCTTGTCAGGAGGGTTTTGTTTGCACATGGGCTAGGCCTGGGAAAGTGGTGAGTGACTAGCTTCTAGAGGATTCTTCTGCTTTTTGAACGCAGGCATGTGTCGCCACAGTTCAATCAAAGCTTTATTTATAAAGAGCCTTCCGCGACCCTGTCGGGAAGCCCACGGCGCTGAACATGGTACATGAGAAAAGTGAAATATGAATAAATCAAAAATAAAAGCAATTCAAATATTACAAAAAAGGTAAAACATTAAAGTAGAAGACAAATGGGTAAAACAAGGGAGAAAGAGACCAATGAAAACAGGAAATAAAAACAAAAGAGGGCCAAATTTAAACACGTTCAGGAATCGCCAAGCGGAGGAGGTGGGTTTTTAGGCGACTCAAAGACTGGCAGAGATGGGGACAGCCTAACTGAGGGTGGCAACTGGTTCCAGAGTGACGGGGCTAGGACTGAGAAAGCCCGGTCCCCGCGAGTACGACACCTAGAACGAGGGACAGCGAGCAGGCCAGGTCAGAGGAGCGCAGAGCGCGTGATGTGGAATGTCTGTTCAGGAGTGGCTAGATGGGGGGGAGCACCACCCTGGAAGAAATAGTAAACAAAGACGAGGAGATTGAAGTGTGAATGATAACAGACCGGAAGCCAGTGCAGGGAGGCCAGAACCGGACTGATGTGGTCCCGTTTCCTGGTCCCAGTCAGGAACCTGGCTGCGCTGTTCTGCACAACCTGTAGGTGGCGCAGTGATGCGTGACACAACCCTGCATATAGAGAGTTGCAGTAATCAAGCCTAGAAATTACAAAAGCATGCAGTACCCGCTCCAGGTGGGCTCTCGACAGCATAGGCTTGAATTTTGCAAGGCGCCTCAGGTGAAAGAAACTGGACCAGATCACAGAAAATTTAAGTCCAGCGTCAATTTTCACCCCCAGACTGGTGACAACTGGTTTTGAATAGGGAGAAAGAGGGCCAAGATCACTTAACGTTCTGACAGAAGTTATTTAGGCATTTGACACGTCTTCTACTAGTAAACCTCCCGGCCTTACTGATCTGCTTCTTGTATTACATTTTAGTGAACATGTGCTGTCTCTTTTTCCACAGGGACTATTATCATCTCATAACAACCCAGCCAACTCCCCCAGTGGAACAGTAGTATAGCCCCAGTGCTGTTGGTGAATTGCTCCACGCAGCAGAGATGAGGATGACCAGGGCTTCGCAATGCTTCTTCATACACCGTCACACAGCACATAACCTCCATTGTCACGGTCATTCTCGTCACTGGAAACACGCAGATGTTGTCTTTATTATCGGGCTTATTAAAGAACTTGATTTGGTTGAAAACGAGACCCCTGCTCATGGAAGGAGGGGTAAAAGGGTGCTGTTGGAAGTTCCGTGAACTTAAGATCTTCCAGGAGTGTTCGACTGTCTCACTGTTGCATCTTTGGACATATCAAATAATGTCTAGTCTGAAACGAACAAACTGATCCCTAAATATTTGTGCCTGTGGATTTTCAAAGACCAGACGATGTGTTGATAATGCCTGCACTTCATCTTTTGTACGGTTCCCATTTTACGACATCCTCAGGAAATGTCTTCAGACTTTCAACCAAACAAGGTTAAAATCGGGGGGGTGGAAAAATCCCATCAGAATTCAAACATAATGCTGAAGTTAGCTTCTGATTTAATAATGCAGTTAAAGGTCGATTCCACAAACTTTTGACCATTTGGAAGTTTTTTTGATCAGTACTTTGAGTCTTTTATCCTGGATTAGATTACACTAGATCATTCAATCTTAAGTTTATTTCTGAAAGTTCAAGAAAATAAAAGGTTGCAAAAATGTTACTATTTCAACACATTTAATAACTATTATAATCATTATACTGTGTTGTAAAGATTTTTACTCTTGGCATAGATTAATTAGGTCTAGCCTTGAAAATTCTGAATATCAGAGGTTTTGAACTGCAGCGGATCCGAGATGTTCTGGAGGATAACATTTCGTTTGGAATTGAGCAGAAATGAGAAGCTGACCTCAGTTTAGCATCTTTTCTTAAGACTGAGCAGATTTTTTTCCCTGATACTAGATTGCAGTTGGTCTCAAGTCTGAAGAGAGACCTAAAGATGTCCTAAAACACCACCATACTTTTGTTTGCAGTTACTATCTTGAGTGTTCTAAGAGGCAGAAAAAGGATGCATTTTGAATTTTTTGATTTTAAAACTCTGCAAGTGACTCTTTGTGCAGCCAGTCCTCAAACACCACCCAGAAGTGATAGATCTGTACTTCCTTTAGAAATATCTAAATGTAAGGTGTACTTAAGAGTGAAGTTTGCACTTATTTCTTAAACGCTCGTTCTCTAGTTTTTTTTCCTGTTAAGAACTTGCGATGGCCGAACATAAATGCAATGTTCTGTCATCATCTTAGGAAGCACTTGAGAAAAAAAACGACCTGTTCTGTCTCAATGCTGGATGCTGCAATTATAATTATATATATATATATATATATATATATATATATATATGGAAAAATTCCTTTGCACTTAATTAGAAGAGAATGGCTTTACATTTTTGGAGTGTGTTAGGACTAACAAAGTTGAGATAAACACCTTTGTATCTATTGAACATTTATTTTAATATGGTTTGAGATTTATTGGATTCTGTACTAAATGTAAATATTATACTTCAACGATTTATGGGTGAATTTATCTATGTTAGTTTAAAGATCCTCATTAAAATAGTGATATTTCTTATACAGAAAGTCTAATATTAAAACCAATCTTGAATATGCAGGCGATCACGTGTCTTTTCTGTTGTACATATAGAGAATTCAGGTGTATTTTTATGAACGAAACGTTTGTTATAGGAAATGTTTTAGGAAATCCTCGTCAAGCAGGTAGCGCTGTGTGCTTGCTGGCCTGTTGCTGCAGGTTTGACAACATAGGTAGGCACAGCCATTCCCTCAAGCTCAGGTAAACCACAGAGACTATCGCTGGTGTAGTTCCCCCCTAGACTCTTATCTCATCTTTAAACCAACTCGTGATCTCGCCTAAAGACTGACAAGACGATTTTCTGCAGGCAGGGCTGAAGCTTGTGACTCCGGTTACGGTTTCCTCCAATTCTCCAACTGAGGACGAACTTGTGAACATCCTTTTGACACTGTGTTGAATTCTGACTGACGGCACGTCAGCGTTCGATGGCGGTACAGTTGCTTCAGATGTGAACGGCTGGATCCTTTTCCTTCATGTGATGCCTATTAAAACAACTTTGACAGAATACGTTCTGCTTGTGTTCATTTACAAAACCAGCTAGTTTGCATAGCATTACCTCATTTTAGTATATTACAAACACCAGCTGTTGAACCTTTGAGTTATGGGACAATAATGTAATCATTTATTAGGGACGCAAAATATATTAGTGATTTTTTTTTCACGTTTCACATTGGCCCAACTAATAAAACTTGTCTATTAACAAATTTTTATTTCCATCTTGTTGCTGTTTAATTTGGGGGGAGGGGGTTGGCCATGTGTTATTTGACAGAATATGTGATCGATGTAGGAAGTATATGACCCTTAAGTGATCTCGGACGTGTATGGAAAAATAAGTTTATAAAATCAGTTATTGGCCAAAAAAAGTGTTGATAGTGTTGCAATTTTTCCCATTAGTGCACTCCTAGTATAGCTTTAAGGCACTGATGCAAACAGTTGCTCTTTTGAGACATTAGTAAAGTCTTTGCATGCGCAAAGTCATAAAGAAACGTACTGCTGAACAAGTGTTCTCTACCTCCTGATTAAATATATCACCTTTGGGTCGATCTGCTTATTTTTACTGCAGAAGCACAGCGGTATTTGATGAATTTGGTACTTTTATTTAGAAACATTTAAAGACAAGATTTCCCCAAAATTTGGTTAATCCTATGTGTGTATAACAGAAATGTATCTGCAAATTAATGGACAACCTGGAGTTTATGAACACACACATCAGACACTTACAAAGGTACAGCTTAGTATCAGGTTGGATCCCGTTCTGCCTTCGGATCTGCCTCGTTTCTTTTAATGTCGCAGACGCAACAAGGTGTTGAAAACATTTTTTCTAAATAGTTTAGCCTATGTGAACGGTAGCCATGTGTCAAGCTTTTGATAAAGAACATAGTTGGGTGTTCATTGATAAGATTGTACGGGTTACATGTGAATAATTATTAGCATGCCCGTTGTAGATGGATAAAGCTCAGTTTTGAGAAATAGTAATTCGTCCTTTGACCAGGGGGCTCAGGTGTTTTTGGACAAATGCGAACTACATTATGATTAAACTGCATATACAGAAACCTGCTTATTGTTTTGTTATTTAAGGGTTTAGTGTCTTGGGCTTATTCTTCATGCCTCGAATCTCTGGTGTGCTGATCAGATTAACTTGTGCACCTGCATTAATCCTTACCCCTTCTTTCCATCGGTGCCGTCAGCAGCACGTTACTGCAGCAGCACGTCATAGCTGAGGATAGGAACCGCTGTGGTCAACAGAACCTTTTCCACCGGAGCCGTCAGCAGCGCGAGTCGGCTGCGTCTCAGGAGCAGCATGTCGCGGCCCTTACGCGCCGGTTCTATTTTCTACGCGTGACGCCTCTGAAACGGGTCAAGTTCGACATTTTTGGGGAAGGAAAGACAGGAAATCGGACGTCGAAACGGAGCGAAGCTCCAGAGATTTTCAGAATAAAGAAACGTACTGCCTTCTGGTTGCTTTACTTTAAAAAAAAAAAGTTATTAACCGTGCAGCCCCGTGAGAAGTTATCACCTAGCTAGCAGTCTCCTTTGTTTTTCAGGTTCATATTGGCGATTATAAAACAGACAGAACATAAAACACAAACCTTTTGGAGCCATGTTGTAATTTTCCCCTGCTTGTTGTTGTGTTTACTGACGAAGTCACACTCTGTCGGTGACAGCTGCTCCCCTGCTGCTTTGCATCTCGTGGGAAAGGCCAAGCAGCAACTTACGCGAGTAAGACGTGCTGCTGACGGCTCCAGTGGAAAGAAGGGGCTAGTGTAACCAAAGCCCCATTTATTGGAAGGGAAACACATCACGTCTTCTGGGCACTGGTAACGGTCATCTGCCTGATTGTGCACAGTCCTTACATCTTCACATGACACCAAGCCCACAAAGACGGTTTCACTTAAATCAGTCTCTTCAACTAGTCTCACTGATTTTGGTTTGACTTTAGAGAGACATTGTTTGGCAAAATTATTCTTCCCATTACATTTCAAGCATATTTTTGCCAAAAGCAGGACACTGTCGAGGTTGATGTCTGCCACCACACCACTTACAGGTGTACATGTCATCTTTGCTGATCTTTTGAGGCACGTTTTTCTTCATTTTCTTTACCACAGCCACTTTAACACTGTCAGGTACTGCTGTCACACTTGTTTCAAAGGTCTTTGCATGCTGCAGAGCTAGCTCACGGGCATGACACGGTCTCTCCGCTTCATCCAGAGTTAGTTTGGCATCTCCGAGTAGTCGTTCTCTATTCCGTTTATCGTAGATTCCATACACGATCTGATCCCGAACCATATAATCTTTTTAACTCTCCAAAATCACGACTGTGCTTTCAGCTTCAAATCAGTCACAAAGCAATCAAATGTCTCTTCTTGTTGCTGCATCCGAGAGCGGAAGACGTACCTTTCATAGTTTTTCTGTGGCGAGCAGTGTCCATCAAACTTCTCAATCACCTTGTCATACTTGTTTCAGTCCGCTGCTTCTTCAAATTCAAAGGTGTTGAAGACTTCAATGGCTTGAGGACCAGCTACAGTGAGTAGCAATGCAATCTTTCTTGCTTCTGGTTTTTAGTCTAGCCCCATGGCAGCCACGTAAAGCTCAAACTGCTGCTTAAAACACCTCCAGTTGCTGTCGACATTCCTCACCAGCTTCAGTCCTTCCGGTGGCTTCAAACTTTCCATCTTGATAGGAACTGTTGCCTGGTATCTCTGTTGGCCTTCACTATCACAATCCCACTCCTGACACCATGTTTTACTCTTTGAGGGTTAGTGAAGGATCACACAGCACACCATTCCGTGCCTCTGAGCCTCCAGCTCAAACATTTCTTTATTATATCAACACCACCTGTGGTCTCCTTCCTTGTGCTACCCTAATGTGCTCTTTAAAAAACAGTGACCTCTGCTGGTCGCTCATGTAAAACTGTGACTGTCTACAACATATCAACACACTTATTGGCACAATTTCATAGATGACCGTTATCACCAAGACAGAAATCGAGACCCTTGAAAGTGACTTAGGCACAGAAAAAAAATGTTTGATTGCCTTCAAGCAGCACCCTGATTTTCCAGTGGTGATAAGGAGCTGCAGAGCGTTCATAACAGACATAAAAAAGGAACAAAAAAGGGAAATGGTCAGACTGAGACAAAGAGGAAGTAGGCAATAATCATTGATACCATCAATAAAAGTAGCACTAAGGTGTACAGTGATTGATGAGATATTCCAGATATAAAGGGAACATTTAATTTAGCCCAACAGGGATTTAAGAAGGAAATATCGTTCATCATATACCTGCTGGCTAAATCCCAATTGAACAAGCAGGTTTAAGGAAACCCCGACAGTGCTGCAGCTGCGCCAGTGTCGGCTTCACTTGGGCGTGGAGGTTTAGTTAGGGTCTGTCACGTGTCAGAAAATTACTGGACCAACCAGTAATTTGAAAATGTGTGTATGAACATAATGTCTTAAAAAATTATATATTTTAATTAGACATAATTTTTATACTCCATTCAGAGATGGGATGGAGGCTGACTGTTGGTTTTTTGTGCGTGTGTGTGTGTGTGTGTGCACGAGCGTCTACAAGATCTGCCTTAAAATAAACATTGTACCATCTCGCCGGCTGCGCTGCCGATGTTCCTCCAAAATGTTCTTACGCCAGGGTCAGAGATCGCTCCAAGTTACACACATTTTTCTGTCAAGTTCAGTTGGTGTATTATCCCTCTTGAGGAAATTTGGAGCAAAACAGCAGTCAGCGTGAAAAACACAGCAAATCCACCCGAAACAAAGGACGCCATAAAAATTAAAACTATTTACAACATAAGACGTCTTGTTTTCTTTATAAATCATAAAGTAAAAAATGACTTAGGACATACGCAATTTTGCTAGCTTTAAAAATGAGGCCCCAGAAGAGTTAATAACTAGTCATTTAGGACTTTGATTCAACTTTAAATAAAATCATAGCGGTTTATGCAAATGTAATTTTTAAACACAGCTATTACAGTATAAATCTGTTTTTCTGTTGGATAAATTAGCTGCAGATGCGTTCGGGTTGGAACGGAGTGATTATTCCTTCAGAACAAAACCATATGAATGAGGACTGTACGGCAGTATGCATACACGGCTACAAATTTTTTTGATTAGTTCTTTTGTCAGGAAACTGCCTCTTTATGATAAGCTGATAGCTCAAGTGTTTAACTTGTCATCCCACTTAATGATATCACTTTAAGGATTTCATCTTATTCAAGCTATGAAGCAGTTAGCTTTATAAAATTTGCCCTTCCTCTGCTGCTTATGTGGGTTGTGTACAGTTGCTCAACAGATGGCAGCATTTCTCAAAAAATGTGGCTTTCTTCAACTTTCCTCCCATAACATGATGAAATAAGGCCCTCACTGTCTGCACGCATCACCTTGTCTCTTCATCTCCTTTTGCAGACACATTCCCTTTTCGCCATCTGTACTTTATATTCCAAACTCGGAATGAAACCACATCTCTTCCATAATTTATGAGTCACATTTGGGAATAAGGGCAAGCACTCATCCTTCTGAACACAACTGTAAAATCCACATGAAGAGAGAGAAGTGATTAGCAGGCTGGATCAGTTCGATCGACCTGTCAGGGTTTCTGAGCTCTCAGGATCTGCTCACATCCATGCATGGATGTCAAACAGAGCTGCTTGTTCAGATAAGTAAACCATGATCATCTCCAATAGATTTGAAATCCAGTTATTGAGTGTACTTGGTGTTTGAAAAGCAATTAAACGGTCAAAAATTGATGTGTTCATGTTGTGTCTTCAGGGAAATAGACCCCTCTTAATGGGAATTCAATAACTGAGGCTGTATCTCACTTTAGTTTCCATCAGCTTCCCACCTGGACTGAAACCATCTTGTCCACACATAGCGATCGTGCAAGCTTTTATTGAATCTTAAGAGGCTCTCGACACTGCTGTCGTGCACAAGCAGCGGTTGCTGTGCTTGCAAAGATCAAGTATGTAAATAAAAACAGTTGTTTATGGGCTGCCTGGTGTAATGTCTTGGTTATAGTGATGCTATCCAGCCACCATGTATGAAGTACCAACTCCTCTAATCTCGTTTGCTATGCCACTGGTTTCCTTAAGGCGCAGCCCATTTACTGAGCCTCTACCATGGACGCAGCAGCACAATCTCCTCATAACAATCTAGCGCAGCAGTGCCACGTTAGCGAATTAAAGTTCACTATGGAGGAAATTATCTGGGACTCGTTACTGTGCAGAGATCTGGCACTCTGCAGGAAAGCTTCGTTGTGCTTCAGCTGTGTTACAACGTCTCAGACATGTTCAGCTCAATGACACACTTGGATTAAGAACCTCATCTATAGTTTAAAAGGGCATAAGAGACACCGTTTCATAACACACAGCTCTCACGTTTCCTTCTTAGCATAAAGTTTCATGTCAGTAAACCAGTTTCAATATTGAACATAAGTTTTTTTTTCTCCTAAATCTGAATATTGTATTTACCTGTGTGTAGGGGAAAATGTGAGTGACCCCTGAACTTAATGACTGCATTTGAAGCTTCCCAACGTGTTAAAACCAATCATTACTGACTACTAGGGGTTGTATGAACTAGTCGACCTCACAACTCTGTAGTGGAGTTTTATGCCCGTCATAGACTAGTCGCTGTCACGTGATAATGACTGACAAGATGCAGTCCTCGGAAAAGACAGCAGGTGACGAGCCCCAGCTCGTCAGCAGGCGACGCGCTGTACCAGAGCGTCGGTACTGACACCTGCGGTATAACGGGCATTTAACCAAATTGTGACCTTTACCCTCTTGCAATTTAACCTTCTCCTCACCCCCATCCTAACCTTAACCAGCTTGCGCATGCAAAGCTCTGATCGTTGACTCGCTCCAGACATCTGCGTCCTGAGCACGGCCACAGTAACATCAAATTAGGTGTCACCACCTCAAAAACTAATTTAACACACAATCGTTCATGTCGGCTCATTTCCTTTTATGTTTTCTGTCTTATTTGTGCCTGATGCGTTTCGCTGCTGTGGAGCGGAGCGCATCACCTGTTTTGTCCTCCGGTGACGCACCTCACCGGTGCAGCCGGCGCGCACTCCGCAGTTTTTGCAGTCGGTAAATCTTTTAGAACCGCAGTTCAAAGGTACCTCATAAGGTGAATATATATGAACCCAGGTAGCAGTTTCTCTTTAGGATTGGGAGGAGATGCAGGAAGATAATAAACAGGCAGGACAGAAAAATAGTCAAATAAAAACAAGTTAGTTTTTGTACCTGGTGGTTGCAACAAACAGACACCATTGAAGGTCATCAGAAGTGAGGAACAGAAAATGAAATAATTATTTTAATGTTTAGAGAAGCAGGAACTCTGAGAGGCTGCAGGCGCATCAGTGAGTTTGCGGCCGCTGCGCGGGGGAGGGGGGAGAGGGCTGAAGCGGAGCAGTAAAGATGCAGAAACGACATTTGACAATTTTAATCGTCAAATTTCAGCGAACCCCCGATTCATGTCATTTGAAACGGTGCCTCGTTTCGGTACCCGTCCTTCACGAGAACTTGCCTGGACAGCTGCAGATGCGCAAGAGCGTTATGTCGTCAGTTGCTGCGAGCCAGTTGTAAACAGAGCAGCATGGTAGAAAGAACACACGCTAAAGCTTGGGTCCACTTCACTAAATGTGATGGGTAACTGGGTGATGATGAAACCAACGACAACGATCTAAGTGAGACATCCTCATCTTAATCTGCTCCGGTAGGTAAATAAAATGTTTAAGATAATGTTAGCTTGATATGTTAGCTTCCGTTTCGCTAATGGTGTGTTTGCTTTCTCCTCGGAACTCCGATTTTCCGACTAGAAGAACATGAACGCGCTCTAAAGTTTGGCTTCACTTTACTAAATGCGACGGGTGATTGGGTGAAGACGAAACCAGCGACAACGATCTAAGTGTGAGGCATCATCGTTTTAATCTGCTCCAGCAGCTAAATAAACTGTTTAAGATAACGTTAGCTTGATCAATTAGCTTCCATTGCCACCATTGAAATCAGCTAATGGTGCGTTCGCTTTCTCCTCGGAAATTCTAACTTCCCAGTAGGAAAAATCTAATGAAAAAGGACGGCAAAAGGAATGAAGATATACAGTAAATTTAGTTCACAGTAAAGATGTTTGCTTCAGTTTAATTATCAGCTTATAAAACTACAAGGACGATGTTAAAATACAAACAGTTGTATGTTATTTATCATGATATTTATCAAATATGGTTATATGTTGAGAAAAATGTGTATTTAATTATAAAAGAGAATTAAAATATTAAACACTCAAAAGTATCGAAAATTGGTACCGTTAAGTACCGGTATCGATTCCTAGGTACCGGGAATTAGTACCGAATCGATTCAAATGTCAAAGGTACCCATCCCCATGTCTTACTGTTCAATCGTGACCTCTGAACTCAACCTAGACAAAGTTAAACCAGTCTGCATTTCCTGAAAGTTGTTTACTGCTCTGAAACTTCAGAGACAGAAAATAAAAGCAAAACCAGAAGAAAACTAAGGAGGCAAATACTTTTTACCTCACAATAAACTGCATTGAGAGCTCGTTTCAATGAACTTCTAGATTTCAAATAGTAGGCAGAAAAGATTATTACACATTGCTGGGAGGTGGGGAGGGGAAAACAAAATCAATGTGACTTCAAAGGCCAGAGCTCAGGCCTCAGTGGAAACCATCAATATCGAGCCGTGCTCAAGGCACTTAAAATGTAAATGCATTTTCAATAGCAACAAAAGAAACAATGCGGTACGCGAGTCCTGGGATGTCTCCAGAAGAACAGTGTTTATCAGTGGAAATCTCAGCAGAGACGCAGTGGCCTGAACTTCTATGTTCTCCCTTAAGCATTAGACAGTGATGCATTGCAACGAAATGAAACAATGCCCTGCAGGCTTCAGTCCTCAGCAGCAGTGGCTGGCTGCGCTTTCCCTGTTGAAACTGACTGGATGGAAGAATGTCCTACTTTTTGCATGTGAACATTCCATCACACTACAGTTTTAAGCAACAGACTCCCGGTTTGCTCTGGAAACTTGAAGGAAAGTGGAAATCCCTTCAACGGAACAAAGCACCTGGAGTAATCTCAGCAAATTTGTGGGCTATAAATATCTTCAAATTAAGCACGGGCACAGCGGGACTGCGAACTATACAGGGCAACCAATCTTAAAAGCAGAGCTGTATTCCCCGATTTGACATCTTATTTAAAATCAGTTCAACCTTATTAAGGACAAGATTGGCATCCTCGTCTCAAAGCCTCGATTTTGAAAAAAAAAAAAACACTTTTGGTGAAAAGACAAGACCCTTCTGTCAAAGACCAATCAAGTGTTAAGAGGCCATAAATTTAACATTCGTCTTTATTTAGAACAGCTCAAGAAAACAGTCCAGTAAGACAGGCAATAAGAAGAATAGTTAATAAAGATTTACTTTTCTTTATATAGGATGCAAAAGACAATAATATGTAATCGTAGCAATTAAGGTCACTGTAATCGAACGTAACTTCTGCAGAGTTCATGGTCCCTGATGTCACCCCAACCCCCATTTTTAACATGAGGAGCCACCCCTCCGGCTCCATTGGCTGGTAGTCTCTTTGTAATTAGGAGGTTTTTCGGAAACAGCTGGTTCCCACTGCTCTGCAGGATGTTTTCGATCTTCGTTTTCTGGCTGACGGGCATGCAAGAGGCTTTCTTGTGATGCATGCCGCAGTCTCCTGCGTGGAAAATCCTGGGCGCTTCACTCACCATGACCTTCCAGTACGAGGGCAGGCAGGACACCGTCAGGTGCTGCAAGGACCAGTCCCAGTTGTAGTCATCATAGGTGCAGAATGTATCAGTGCACTGGATGAGCTTCTGGTATGTCTCTCTGCTTAGAGCCATCCCCATGTTGTGCTCTGTGGACTTCCAGGCCTTCACCTCCACCTTGTTTGCTTTACTAGCATAGCCAATGTGGCTGTAGCTTCCCAGCGAGAGGATGTCACAGTCGGCATACTGCTCCCCCTTAAGAGCTCTCATCAGCTTGAGGAGATGGATAAAATCTGGAGATAGGTAGTGGTCCTCCTCAATCAGTAGAACCAGACCATGATGGTCTTTAAGGACTTTGACTCTGTCCCATACAAAGTGCAGCTTCCACCACCAGTGGTGCTTGGTCTGAGAGAACTTAGCCTCGCGGTAGTGACCAAAGGAGTCTGGGTATTCTGCATTGATGCATCCAAGTTTTAAGGCGTCTTTTTTTGGAATGTCTCTAGGGCAGTCTCTGGGGTCATGTCCAGGAAATTCTTGGGGGTATAACTGAATGCTGAAGGGGAAGAAAATCTGAAGGACTTGACAGAAGTCCACAGAGGCCACCACTTTATTAATCTCTGGGGACCAGTAATCGTGGCTGAATATCAGCAATATGCTCTCCACGCCTCGGGCCTTTCGTAAACTATCTACTAACAGCTTGAGGTAGTCGGGTCGGTTATGGACCTGAACTACCACAACCAGATCATCTTTTTGTCGTGTTTTCTTAAACTTCTCTTCGTTTCTTATCGTCTGGTCAAAATTCAGCTGGAAGACGATGCCACGAAAAACTAAAGTAGTGTTATCTACCACAGGATGGCCCAGCTTGCCTTTTTCTTTTGTGTTTTCTTGGTGCGTGTCATTTGCTTGCACAATGAGCAGCGGAACAGTTGCTTTGCTAACTGCAGGAGTAGCTTGCACCTGGACTGGAATGTTGACAATACTACTACTACTGCTGCTGCTGCTGCTCTTCTTCACTGCCTCCAACTCCTTGGGGAAGGAGCCACTTTCATTCTTTTGCCTTGCGCTGCTCCAGAAAGCTAGGCCACAGATGACAACCACCAGAGTCACAATCACCACCTTCTTCTTGTAGATTCGGAATCTCATGATAGAGGATCAGCCTCTTGCCAGGGAATGGAAGGAGTTTTGTTTACAAAAACAAGGCAAGGAACTAAGGAAAAACTTGCAGTGGTATATATTCTGTGCTTTGCGCAATGAAAAAAATGAGTCTAAAAAAGATGCTGGGAGGCTAATTGCTGGCAAAAATACCTGATGTTGTAAACATTGATTCTGCTGGAATGTCATAGGCGGTTCGTAAATATCCCATAAGGCATGACAGTTGCTGGGAGGCAGTGTACAGAAGCCACCTGAAAAAGAGAAACAAACCAAAAAAGTAGGTTATCCAAGTGCATTATGGCAGTCATTTATAGCCAATATATACTCTGTATATGCCAAAGGAGCCAAAGGAAATAATCAAACTGATTAGTAAAAACAAATATCCATGCTATACTGCTACACATCTCACAAGACTACAGTTTTCATGTATAAATAGGAGGAACAGCTTTGTGGCAAGACCTGGAAACCAACAACAATCAGCTCAAATAAATATTAAATACATAGATACCAGGGATGTGTATTTTTGAAATTCTGGCGATACAATACAAATCACAATATAGGGGAGACGATACGATATATTGCGATACATTCGGTCAGACGTTACAAGCAATTTTTTTTTACTGAATTTATTGTAAGAATGTTCAATAAACAGCCCAAAATGATAAGTAACATGTTTAACATGAGGTATCTGAACCATGATGGAGGGATTTACATTTCAATGGTGGAAACAAAACCCGTTGCACACTGCTGCCAACTAGCGGGTGGCGATTGAATTGCACAAAATGAAAAGAAAATACACAAAAGTTTGCATGTAAATTCTTTCAAGATTTAGATACACGGCTTTTGAATATCGATGTAATAATCGCAGGAAAAAATATCACGATATATTGCCATATCGATATTTCTGATACACAGCTTTTGGATATCGAAATAATATTGCTGGAAAAAATATCACGATATATTGCCATATCGATATTTTCTTACATCCCTAATAGATACTCTGTCAACAGAAACAAGAGTGTTTAGATAAAAATAAACCATGAAGTGCTCGTCTAAGGGTGGTGGATTGGAGTGCAACGGATCATCGTTGATCCGTGATCTGTACGGGCCTCTCTCTACGGTTTGGAGCGCACGCGGTTTGTGGATCGGTCACGTGGAGGGGCTACCTGTTCAACCCAAAGGAGAAGCGCACAGCGGTAATCATGAAGGAGGAGGAGAGAGGAGCTTAAGACATCACCTGTACCGTTTAGGTTGCATGTATGGGAGCATTTTGGCTCCCCAGTAAAATACAATAACGATACAAACGGCAAAAATTGGCATGCTCCTCCAGTTTGATGGAGCAGCGCAGCGCTGCACACATCCGATCGCTATGAAAGGAGGGAGATAGTGGCACATGAAACATGCCTTGGATGTAACATAACAAACGTGGCAGGACCTGTAAATGTTGTTGGGGACAAATCTGTAGAAGGAGGACAAAAGAAAAACAAACAGCACATCAAAAAGGTGAGATAAGTGAAAGCTGAACACAAAGGGAGAGCATGTCTCAATTAGGCAAGTCATTTTAACATTTAATCAGCAATCAGACCTAACTGGAACTCCTGCTTTTATAGAAAGATGCAAACTGAGCAGAAAATATTGCAATCCAGATGCCCCTTTGCATTCTCCTACATTACTTTCTGTTCTTAATTACATTTTCTGTATTGACTGGCTCGTTCCACTCAGACCTGCAGAGCAAAACGTCCATTACTTATTATTAATTCAGTCATCTCTCAGTTTTCATGTCGTAAATCTCTGCCTGATGCATTTTATTCAAATCAAGCCTTAAATATGTGCAGTCAACATGCACCCACAAAACAAACTTAACAACAAGCTGGTGATCGGAATCAGCCTATTTTCGGCTAAAGCAGTGATCGACAAATTTCAAACCAAAAAGTTTGATTTTCTTTCTCCACCAGTCTGTGGAAGCATCAAGTGGCACAAGTTCAAACAAAAACAAACATTTACCCCATTCATGGACACAACACTGCTAATCCACTCTAGCAATTAAGGGGTTCCGAATGTGCAAAAAAAAAAAAAAAAAGTCATCACTTTGTCCTTAAAATTTGTTATTCGGCTGTTCATATTCTCTGGTTACAACCCATCGACAAGCGATTCAGTCTAAACTGTTGTACGGCCGTTGTTACGTGATGTTGTCTTGTTCTGTCGTTACAGCCTGTTGTCCAGCTGATGTTACCCAACTATGCTGTTAAAACCCGTTTTCACCTTACTTCATGTCTGTTAATAGCCAAAAATATCTAAGAGTGATAATACTTTAGAAGACCATAACTTTACAGCAATACAGTACAATTTAATAAAACAAACCGTTTTAAATGTTATGACATTTTACTCTTTTCTCTGCATAATGTAGAAATAATATTCTATTTGTGACCACAGACGCACTGGTGCCATTTATAAAGATGAACCCTCCCTCCAGGACATCTATAAGAAGCGGTGCCTGAGGAAAGTGGGGAGGATCATCAAGGACTCAAGTCACCCCAGCCATAAACTGTTCAGACTACTTCCATCAGGAAGGAGGTTCTGCAGCATCCGGTCCAGAACCAGCAGACTGAGAGACAGCTTTTTCCATCAGGCCATCAGACTGCTGAACACGGCGCAGACACCTCACCCTCACTACTGAAACTCCAACATTACACGCTCCATACTGTACATTAATGCCACAGTTTTGCACATACCAGCCTCTGTATATTTTATATCTCTTATCTCATTGTTTACTTCATTCATTTGTATATTTAGATTAGCCATTTTTATATTTTACTTGTTTTTACATTACTGTATTTTTGCATAACTGTTGCTGTGAAGCTCGCACACAAGAATTTCACTCGCATGTACTGTACCAGTGTACCTGCACATGTGACGTGACAATAAAAGTGATTTGATTTGATTTCATTTGAAATGTTAACTCACTTGTGTAGTGACCGCATGAACTAGACCAGCGGTTCCCAAACTTATTTAGCCACGCACCCCCCTCTATGTCCCGACCATGTCGACGCACCCCCCAGCCCCACACATCAGGGCATGGATATATATATATATATACATACATATCTTGGACGTCAAGCTAAACAGCCACTCGACAATCTGCCAAAATGACTCACCACCTTCAGATTTCTCCAACATCGTTAAAAATGATCAAATATGGAACATATCTTGCTATTGACAGCGTGCGCAGGCCAGAGTGCTGAAGCTCGGCGCATTATTGTTATGAAGCTAGGGCACATACGGAGGAGGACACACAAACACACGCATGCAAAATATACTTGTTTTCAGTTACATTTATTGGGCCCACTTACTTTTTCTTAGGCCCACCCACAAATGAGTTTCTGGCTACGCTAATGGTGACATGTGACAGACTTCTCGGAGCTCCGCAGCCATTACACTTTTCAACTCGCGCACTCCCTAGCGTCAGCTCGAGTGCACCACACTTAAGCTGGGTGGACACTGTGCGACTTTTTCACTTTTTTGAGCCGATTTTTCACTCGTGCGAGAATCCACGAGATCGGGGCGAGTTTTGCGCCGAGCGTCGTGTAGTGTACAGGGGGTTACGAGAGGCGATTAACACCACGTGACCAGCTACCGATCAGCAATTGTGAGCTCGCACAGACTTCTGGCGTGTTTAATATTTTGCTCGTCCCTCGTGAGGGTATCGCACTGTTGAAGCAGCGCTGCGAGCAACTGCAACCCAAAAAGTACCAGAACCGCTCACGGCGCATGCGCAATCATGCATCAACACCGCTCGCTATTTCCCTAATAACACACGCTGTTCGTTTTTATTTCTACACATTTTTTTACTCACAAAGATCGTCAAGAAAGCGTGTTTGTCGTGTTCATGTCAAATTAAACTGATCACAAAACACAGATTTACTTTCTTTATTTCGTTTTCCTCATCCAACCCTCATAAATCCCTGTGTGTCCTCCTGCAGCACTCCCGAAGGACAACAGGCCAAACAAGACAAAGAAGTCTGACGTGTTGAGTAAAAACTGCTATTTTTAGCATATTTTTAGGTCCGAAGTGTTGCTACCAGACGTACAGTGTGAGCAGTCAGATCGCATCCGAGAACTGGGTCGTGCAGTGTGAGCGCATGACTCGTGAGATTTGCCCTGCGAGGAAGTCGTACAGTTTGAGCTGAAGCTGAGTGCTACGAGTGAAAAAGTCGCACAGTGTACGCCCGGCTTTAGGGAATCCCTGAACTAGACAAACACATGGACAGATTTTTGGCACATTAGGAACCTCAAAAGCAGTAACATAAATTGGTATCGGCTGGTCAGATCTGTCAGAACCAGAATTGGTGCATCTGGTATTTATTGTTTGTTAATGAAAAACTAATTTAAAGAAATTCGAACAAATTTAAGATTTGTTCCATTTTATAAACATGTGCTTCTTGTTTGTACACACACAAAAAGAGGAAATTATGACATGTGTTGCACTAAATAGCATGTTTACTTTATTTATTTTACTTTTTTTTTTACAGTGTACATGCTGGGTTTACTGGTTTCCACACATTGTCATACCGCTAGTGTGACTGATTCGTTTTCTGTTTAAAACATTTTGCGTGTTTTTGACCCCCCTCCCTTACTAATACCTCCATGTTTCATATTAATGTGCCTGCAAACCATTTCCGTCCCCAACTAGCCACTGGCTGTCAAACACAAACCGAGCCAGCAACGGCAGTGCTCAGGCGTAAACCCCGCAAAAAACCACGAAGTAAATCAATCAAATTACACGAAAACGTCTTCACGTAAAACACGCAGCTGGCGTTTTCTCTGCGGCTCGACATGACAGCTAGCATCTTTATCATGCTAACAGTGTTAGCTAAGGGCTGCAGCTAACAACTTCCAAGCTGCTGGCGGCTTCCCGAACCGAGCTAGCAAGCTCGTAAACAACCAGCAGCCCCGTGTTTACGCCACTCACCTGAAACTACCCAGGTCCTGCGCTTCATTCACGAACACACAGAGAAACGGTGGCGTCCCATCCTCCTATTTACCTTCCAGCAAGCTGCGTGGAAGCGCAAATGACGGCTAGCTGTTAAAAACTGTACAAAAACAGCACCACCACCGCCTCCTGCTGTCCTACAACACACTGGACCGGTGGGTGGGCACCCCGGCCCTTTATACCGTCTACTACGGCTACAAGAAACCCAAAATACCCCACTTCCTCTCCACTCTTTTTTTATTTTATTTAAATTATTTTTTAAATAAATATTTATTGCTATCAATATCAAACAGTACAGTGATTTATACAAACTCTCGAATGGATAATAAGTGGAACATAGCATGAGATTTTAGTACAGCAAACAACAATATTTATTTATTTGAACATAATTTATGCGGAGGAATAACCACTTGAGATGTAACATCTCGTTTTCGAGTGGGTCCTCCTTTACAACAAAAAGAGGAACAAGAATTAAGAGCAAGCCAGCAGAGCAAAAATCAAAATCAAAACATTACAACAATCATTTACACACACACACACACACACACACACACACACACACACACACACACACACACACACACACACACACACACACACACACACACAACACTAACAAGGACAAAACAAAAGCAACAGCCAGTTGAACAAATACAATTAGTAACATAGACGATTATTCCTGAAGATGATCGACCAGAGCCCTTCGAAAAGTAGTGAATGATGATAAACAACGAATAGATAAAGGAAGATTATTCCAATCACATGGAGCCTTGAAACCAAAAGCATGTTTCCCTGCCTCTCTTTTCACTCTAGGAACAACAAAAGAGAGCTGGTCATTATGCCGCAGGCTGTAAAGTGAATTATAGGGAATTAATCCTGATAATTAAAGTAAAAAGTTTTAAAAATGAACTGAAACCAGTGAAACTGTCTCCTGACAGCAGGTGCGAACCAGGACAACTGTCCATACATCACACTTCTATGTGTCCTAAATGGACAACGAAGAACAAAACGACAGAGACAAGCAACATAAATAAGTGTTCTGATAGATAATGTCAGCATAGTCCAGAATAGGCAGAAGTAGCTGTGTGGCGATTCTTTTCCTAACCAGAAAGTGAAAACAATTAACAGATTGATAGAGGATTTTAAGACGAGAATTTAATTTTTTTGTAGTTGCTTGTATTTGTGTTTTAAAGGATAAATCAGGTTCCAGCCAAACACCAAGAATATGATAGAAATATTCATCAAGCTATATAAAAAATAATGAGCAGTGTCCTCAGAGTGTTTAAAATAGGAGAAATTCTGAAGCACAGGACATTATTGGGCACATTTTAGTCTAATAATTCTCCCTGTGCATGCGTGGGTTCTCTCCGGGTACTCCGGCTTCCTCCCACAGTCCAAAAAACATGACAGTTAGGTTAACTGGTCTGTCTAAATTGTCCTTGGGTGTGTGTGTGTGTGTGTATGTGTGATTGTTTGTCCTGTGTGTCTCTGTGTTGCCCTGTGATGGACTGACTCTCTGTCCAGGGTGTACCACGCCTCATTGCCCATTGACCGCTGGAGATAGGCACCAGCACCGTAACCCTAACTCTTTTTGAACCCAGATTGGTAAGGGTTTAGCAGACAGTTTTGTGAGAGGTATTCTGTGATCTGCTTGAAAGCCACCCTTTCAATGATTTTTGACAGAAAAGGGAGGAGAGAGATAGATCGGTAGTTCTCCACGTGATTTGGAGGAAGAGATAATTTTTTTTTTAGCAGCGGTTTAACCTGAGCATGCTTGAGAGAGGTGGGTAATGTACCGGATGTCAGTGAAGCGTTGATCACATGTGTGACTGCTGCGGCTACTGTAGGAGCAATAGCCTGGAGCAGCTTAGTCGGAATGGGGTCGAGTGGGCATGTAGTAGGGCGGCTGCACGTGAGAAGCTTGGACGCACAGTTCTCAATGAGAGGGGAAAAAGAGGAAAATGAAGCAGTCGGGCTTGAGATGGTTGGGCTAGAAGGAGTTTGTGGTAGCGAATGTTCAGGAGTGGCCAGTTGAGTAAACTGTTTGCTTATAGCTGCCACGTTGTCAGTGAAGAATGAGGCAAAGGTCTCAGCTGATAGATTTACTACTGCTACTACTACTACTACTACTTGCCTGTACTTTGCTAATATAACTCTACTTCTAAGATATGTGACTAAAACCAAGCCAGTTTACCAAACGTATAATATGCATCCTTAAAAATGAAGATACACCAGATTTTGCACATTTCAAAACAGTTAAAACCTCTTCTTTATAATAAATGGCATTTTAAAATGGCAATTAATATCTAAATAGAAATCACTTGACACGAGTCATAGTCAGAATTCTCTATTGAAAAAAATAATAACCAAAAATGTAACTTCTCAAATCTGTATCCACCATTTGAATGCTGTGATATAACTAACTAACTAACTAACTAACTAACTAACTAACTAACTAACTAACTAACTAACTAACTAACTAACTAACTAACTAACTAACTAACTAACTAACTAACTAACTAAAAGTCATTATGACACAAGTGAACGCTGCTGTATGGTTTTGTCGTTCAACGTAATATGCAGTTACTAATTTGACCAGTAGGGGCGCACCTAAAATAGTTCTTACCGGAAATTGAGCCTATGCAAACGTCATTTGCGCATGCGCGTACGTCTTTTCCTCCTTTCCGACACTCGAGCGAAAAGAGGCAAGATGGGCCATCAGCAGCTCTACTGGAGTCACCCTAGAAAGTTCGGCCAGGGATCCCGCTCCTGGTCAGTGTTACTCTTAACCCGTGGATGGTCGCGTGACGCGCTAATGCGAGTGATATTTGTGTGTTTGTTTATGTGTTCTTGTGCGAAAACGGGATCAAAGCTGCACCGCATGGGCTTTCATGGCGAAGCTAATATGGCGGCTTAGGATGAACCTCGCCGCCTCTATTCAGCAACATCATCTGTGTTGTTGGTTCGAAGCGTTTACAATAGTTTATTGTTTTTACTAGACTTTAATGCAAATGACAATGTTAGGACTAGATAAGTAAGTAAGCAATCATCATAAATGTAGCGTAATGTGTTGACCGTTAGCCGGGCTCGCTCTGCTTCCGGATGCTCCAGGTACCTTTTCCAATTTCATAGTCATCTAATCCGTATTCTTGTGTGATTTCAGCCGAGTGTGCTCAAATAGACACGGACTGATCCGTAAATACGGACTCAACATGTGCCGCCAGTGCTTCCGGCAATACGCCAAAGACATCGGCTTCATTAAGGTGAGATTCAGTTTTCACCTTAAAAGCGGAATTCTATTCCACATCACCCTCTACACATGTAAACAAGTGTTGCACAAGTAGTCCATGAAGAAACTGTTCTGTAGCTTCTGTCCAGATAAAAACCACGAGCAGCTGCTCAAGAACAAAATAAATTATAAAATTTCGTAGTAAAAAAAACCCAAATTGGAGTATAACTGTATGAGCAAATTATAATAATTATGATTGTTGTAAACTAATAATTACCTCTGCTCTAATTCTCTTTTTATTTGTTTTCCTACAGCTGGATTAAATGACTCACATTGACATCCTCTGATCGGGTCATGGCGTCATTAGAAGGCTGACCAAGATGGGAAAAAATTAAACACTTCAAATAAATGTGTTGTTTTTTTTGTCCAGATCATCTGAGTTGTGTGGTTATTCACTGTGATTTTAAATGATGTCCACCATAAAACCTCACTACCTCACATTTTTTGGTTATTTTTAATGGCGTAGTCAGAGACCCGGGCTGGGATAGAAAGGTTTTAGCTGCTCGAAATTCAAACTTTATTGTCTCAATGTTTGAATACAAGCTTATTTAAAATATACAAAGTAAAAACACGTAGGAAAGTTTTATTATTTAACACCTCTATATACAAAATCAAGGTGAATCACAAGTACATGTAAAACATGAAAAATAATCATGTACATTAAGGTCCACATTTTTTCTGACAAAACTGCAAAAAGGCTTCCATTGAACAATCTTGAGGTCTGGACTTAATTTTGGCAAATGTCCTTTTAGTTCTACTGCATTGCAGCAAACCTTGGCATCAACAATATCCAACAGTTTTCTAATCAGTTTCTGGTTATTTTAATTGAACCTCATTTAAAGGCATTTCAGTTTCAATATAAAACACCTGATGTGTAGAAACAGTTTTTTTTCGATTGCTAAAACTCAATAAGCAAAAATGAGGAACACTTTTCACAACCTCTACTTCTGTTCCCAATTGCTTGACTCAATTTATCACTACTTCCTTATATTCCTCCTTAACACTGATGTCAATTTCACATTACCTTGCTGTCAAAACACAATTTTCAGGTTTACACACACTTCTCACATAAATTCTCAAAGCTTCAATCAAACACACAAATATTCAAATCTAAACTTTCGGGTCTGGCGAGAAATTTGCAATCAGGGACTGCAGCATAAAAGTAAGTTTCCACAAGGCCACCCAGGTGTATGAGTGGTTTCAGGACCACCAACGGTTTCCCATTTTATCCCTTCCACTTTATTCCCCCTTCCTCACTCCCATTGAGGAGTTTTTCTCAGCCTGGAGGTGGAAGGTGTACGAAAGGAATCCCAGGTCCCACTGCTTCAAGCCATGGAGGAGGCTTGTGGAGATGTGGCCTTTGAGGCCTGTCAGGGCTTCATGAGGCACTCGAGGCGGTACTTCCAGCGCTGTTTGGACCAGGAAGGTGTTGATTAGGCCCTCTGGCCAGAGAGACCGGAGGCATGATGCCCCATGGTTATGCTTGCATGGGGGGGGGGGGGGGGGGGGGGGGGGGGGGGGGGGGGACGACTGTAAAAATAAAGTTTTTTGTCTCAAAATGTGTGTGATGTCTAATGTTTGTCTCAGAGAAAAGTGGGCACTGTCATACATTCAGTGTGTAATTCATTGTGTTCCATTTAGACGATTGTGTTTTCAGTTTTGCTCTTCAGTGTTCTTTCCATGCTTGGTAGTGTTCACCCAAAGGCTACTTGTGTTTAAAGAGCAAGTCAAGCCCTACCAGAGTCTAACTCCATTCCCACTTCATGTTTGAAAAATGCAACAAATGCTGTTGCCTGGCAGACCGAGAAGGCGGAGCTGCTAACAAATACACACACACAGAGGCTCACGACAGCATTGTGACATCATAATGTACCAGTTTACATCATAGCATACCTACTAGCCAATAGCGGTGGCAGATTTAAATTAAAATACAGTGCAGAGTTTTTACCTGACAACGGCACAACACTGCCAGTTTTAGGCAGAATATTTAAATTTTAACTAAGATGCACTGAAGTGCCAAATTATTGACTACATGTGTCTGCAGCACGATTAGACACTCGTTTATTTAGTTTATCAGCAAAAAAAAAAGGTTTATTTGGGGGTGACTTGCTCTTTAAGCAATGAATGGTATGTGTGTGTCATGTGAAAATGTGGCTGTGTTTACCAAATGAAAACACGTGTTCCATTTTGGGAACATGTTACGATATGTGGTGGCAGGGTTTTGTTGCAAAGGGAAGCCATGGTTTAGGAATTTGTGTGTTATGTTTGGGGTTTTGTGTGTGCTGTTTTGAAAAACTCGTTTTAGCAATCGAAAACAACTAAACTGGTTGCAAAGCGATGTGTGTGTGTGGTCACTTTCTCAAGTATTCTGAACTATTCAGTAAGAAGTCCAACTGTGAGATTAATAATCTGCTGTGTCATAATGAAAGAACTTTCCATATAGAGCAACAAACTCACTATAGAGTCAGCATGGCTTCAAAGTACTTCGAGTAGGAAACCTGCAGAGGTAATACCCAACAACCTGATAGCTACCCTGCTGTGAGGCTAATTGCATTCAGACTGGTGACCTAACTCAAATATTGCATGAGATTATCTCAAACTTCTGCTTGACTGGTGTGATTTCAAGCAGCAAACATGGGTGTTTACTTGGTTCTGTTGATTATTCATCTTTGTCTTAGTTTGAACCAATCTGGACCACTAGATGGCAGCAACGCTGCATCAAGGAAGGATGGGCAAACATCCTGATGGGAAATAAGTCAAATCATATTTTCAGTTGAAATTATTTCATAACAGGAAATCACACGAAGAACCTGGTAAAACTGGATCAAAGATTTTGAAATTAAAACACTAAAAACAGGAGACGGTTATGCAGATTTATGTACCATTTTCAGGTGTTTGCTCCTTATTTATTTAGGAATTCTTGACAAAAACAGCAGAAAATCCCTCTGGCAACAACATTTTAACAAGATTATAATGAAAATAAATAGGCAACAACAACGCAAATGTTCTGAATACACCTCAAAATTCACTAAACGTGATTTAAAGGTTACTCCGTGGACTTCACAGATCTCCAATCATAATAAAATGATTCTAATCAGACCCAGAGAGTCGGACTGGGGTGTCTGAACATCCCTGATACACACTGCATTTACATCCAAGTTTACAAATGAAGACCCAGGTGTGCTAACAGAAGGGTGTTAGTGTATTTAGTATTAAATCTGGTGTCTTTTGTTCTAAATAATGCATAAAGGAGAGAGTGGTATCAGAAAGTTGCCTTTAATGTGTGTCTGCTGGAGGCTGGGCTGTTGGGACAGATGGAGCTGATCACACAAGTGCTCCATGTTGCATCACACCACGCAGGTGGATGGAAGGTGTTGTCTTTGATGTTCAGTTCATCTGCAGTTTTTTTTCTTTGTACCAGTGCATTAAGGCTCTGGTTATGCCTCCTTGATGCTGCAGACTGACGTGACAGAAAAATGTTTTATTAAGCCCGAGTTTTCTCCAGAAGACTTGCTGGGGTAATGCAGCCGTAGTTTGTTTATATTTTACTTTATAACGTTCTCATACGAAATGTATTGAGTACTTAAATGCATCTCTCCTGTTGATGTATGACAGAAATGCAAACATCGAGGAAAGATGTGGGGAGACATTTAGACTTTATGGCCTTGTAGGTTTTAATATTCGTACCTTCAACAACCGTGCCTATCTGGTCCTATACATGTCTACTGCCCTCTAGTGGAGGAGCTACAGGTGGCAAAGGCTAATTTAATTAGTTTATAACAATAAAATTGCTACATAATTATATAACAAAAGAAAATAGATTAGTAAATTGTTGTTTTATTATCATTAGACATAAAATAGCTCAGTTATTGTTTCAGACAATTGTTTGTCCACCATTACAATGTCTGGTTGGTTCTCCGTCACCATTTTGTCAGTCTGAATCTGGAAATCCCACAAGAGCTTGGCTCTCTCGTTCTCCACAACCTTAGGGGGTGTTACCCACTTTGATCTTGGGGCTTCCAGTCTGTACTCTGCACAGATGTTCCTGTACACGATTCCAGCCACGTGCTTTCTCTGCCGATATGTGGTGGATTGCACTCACTAGTCTTTGGTCTCCTCCCTTATGGCTAGTGTACAGTCTCAGGGCGCTGGATTTGGGATGGAACCCTCCATGCATGGTTAGGAGCTTCCGTGTCCAGCTGTGGTCTGCATTTCTTCCTTTGGCCAGTTCTTGCCATTGAGCTGACTTCTTAGGACTTTCCTAACTAGTTGTAGGAATTTGGCTGTGGCTCCTTTCATATAAATATTAATATATATGTACGCATATGCCACATTTTTGCAACATCAAATTAGCATTAACAAACAAAAAAATGGATGCAACTCTTTCAATTTTACAGACAATGAGCTAAAATTTGGTGAGATGGTAGCTGGGCATCAACTTTTTATTTCTTCTTCTTCCGGCTCTTGGAGGGTGCAGACGCTTTTCTTCTCCTCTCCTCCATATCTTATCCTCAAGGCCTTTGTCTGTCTGTGTGTGCTGGGTGCACGGCTGCTTCTGCATTTTTTCTGTTAACTGGAAACTGAAATTCACTAAAATGGATCTCGTCAGATGGTCTCTCAACGCGATTGATACAAATTTTTTCAACGATGAGAACGGGAGAAGGGGCTCCCGGATGCCCCTCCAGGACAGACCAGCTGTCTATGGAGGACTCTGAAGATGTGTGGATATTCGTGGTGTTGGTGTCAGGTTTCCTGCTGATCGGCATTGGAGGCTACCTGGCTTACCGGAAAATGAACGAGCTGTCGAGGAATATTGGCCTGATCCCCGAACTCAGAGATGGTTTGCACCACACTGTGAATTCACAGACTCACATAATTGTCGAGATGAATCGTAAGCTTGGGACTTTGGTGGAGATTCATTCTTTGGCACAGAAGATGGATGCCATCAAGGAGAGAGTGGATGAATCAGCACGGATTGGGATAGATTAATGTCCATAATTGGGATTTGAGAGGTTGAGGACCAACAAACTGTTAGACAGAGAGGAAATTATCTCTGTCTGGCCTCAAAACAATTTCTAATCGGAATCTGGCGTCCTTGAGCCTGCAAGGCTCCAACGAAAACTCCCCCCTCAGAAGATATGTGGAATGTGCCGTCGCTATGGCAACTCAACTCTGTCTCCTTTCCCAGCCTGGGCGGGACTGCGGGAAGGCCGCTGAAACATTCCAGGGTCACTGCAACCCTCCAACCCTCAATGCTAAACCCCCCCCCCCCCCCCCCCCCCACACACACACACACACACTGAGGTGACATGCGCTGCTTATCGTGGCTGCAGGAACTGAAGTACGGATAGTCCCAACCCACCACCCCACC